ACAACGGCTCATGCTCCAATCGTTGCCGGCGATTTTGTACATTTAGCTCGTGCTTAGGCCTAAATGTGGGCTTTTCCTTTGGTTCAAACTTACTCTTTTGTCAAAGTAAAAAATTAAAAATTTTTTTATTGATTGATAAAAATTGATAAAAATCATTACAATAGTTAACTGGCTTAGAAATTTCTACTAGAATATTCAAATTATTAAAAGATTTAAACTATATTTTCTTTAAAAATTGAATTTGTTTAGTTTATTCAAGTTTCTAGGCCTCTAAAAATCAAAAACCCATTTCCTTTTCCCAATTACCTAATTTCCGTATAAATTCTATTGAAAGACGAAAATTCCAAGTTTTTAGACCCTATTTCCGCATATTCGTTTTTTCTCATGTATTTGCGCTTGCTCTCTGCACCACCGTGTTCAAAAAAGCCCGAAAATTTGAACGTTGTCTTGTTTGTGAATGGTGATGGTGGTCATAATGGCTAGATATCAAGAGAAATGAGGAAGGGCAAAAGCAGCCTATTCCACACATTATTTATTGATGGATTTATATGTCGTGGAACCGCCCCCGAGGCTTCAATGTCACCAGATGTCCCTTCAGTTCCTTGAAACATGACAGAAATCGGGGCTAACAAATTATTCATGGCAATCCGCGGAGCGTGAATCAACGAATGGAAATTGCAAGCTGAATCTGAGCTTAAGTTTCGGCTTATCCAGCTTTGTTTGACTGAATTCTCGGCCACAGAAACGATTTTCTGAATATTTCCGTCATTTTCCCCGCAAAAAAAGCCGAAACTAGTAGCTTTTCAAAATCTGAAACAACCATTTTAATAAGTTTTTGAAGAGCTTTCGAATGGTGTAAAAATCATTACGATCCGATGCTTCTAGAGAAAGATATAGGGTTTTTCTTGATTCAACGCGGACTGGATTTTTCAAAGAAATGGCGCGATCTGAGCAACGAAGACCCTACAGCGAAAACCGATTGCAGATTCGGAATCAGCGCAAAAAATTACATATACAAAACGAAATTGCGATCGATTCTCTACGCTTGCGGAAAGATAAAGGGCTTTTTCTGTGAAAATCTATTCTACGTTTTTCCTAAAATACGTCATATCTCGGAAATGATAGGTTTGAGAGGAAAACGAGTTTCAGATTCGGATTCAGCGTAAAAAACTGATCCTAAACAGTGAAGAATTGAGATATTATTGTGATGTTTTAGTCTATAATAATTGATTGCAAAAGGTATTCAGGGTGGGTGCGAGGGCTTGTTGGGAAAGACCCCCTGTGAGCGCTCTCCGCCTGCTCTCTGCCCAATTGCGACTAGCCCCCCGTCTGGACCACCCCGACAATGTATCCGCGCCTCGTCGGGTTGGTCGGCAATCGGCCTTCGGTCCATCTTTTTTTTAAGAAGACCGGGCCGCGGGATAAAAGGGTCGCGCGAGCGGCCCTTATAACAAATTTTGGGTGCAGGCCGAATGCCATCGACGGGCAACCGTCTTTGGCGTCCGCGCCTCGCGCGTTGGCGAAGCCCTCGCAAATTTTTTTCTGAAAATGAAAAGCGGCAAGTAAATTAATTTTATAGTTTGATAATTTAGGCTGATTTAAACAATTGGTGCAGCGTCGATCTTCTGGCTACAAAACCGGGGTTCTTCTTTTCCGGAGCCGATTATTTTGCTTTTCGACCAAAGTTTCGGCTACAATATACATTTCCGAAAACAAGAAAAACCCATTTCCGCTATAATATAGGCTTCCTAATTCATGCCTTCTACCTGCAGCGCTCCATTCTATCAGCTTGAAAATCCGGAAGGAACCCTGTAATCCTATATGCCCCCAGCTTCTGGCTGAATTACAAAGGAGCTATACCCAAAAGAATTCCCCATTTTCTGTGTATGGCTTCCGGTTCCTGTATATTTTTTTCAGATGTTCTGCTGCGAGAGTTTGGCCGAATTCTCGAGAAACGGGGGAGGCGGATTTTAGGAATCAGCGGGGATTATTTTTGGATTTTCTGCGTCCGCAGGGGGATTCTTGCGGGAGATTACCGGTGTTTGGCTGATGTTTTGGGGTGCCCTTTTAGTAGTGGAATATAGATTTTATTAAATTTTATACAGTAAGATTGCGAAAATCAATAAGATATAGTTTATAGATTTTCGAAACACTGATTTCTGCCGTTTTTTCGTGTATCTGAAGGTTTTGGGTACTGGACTGTTGGGGGGGGCGGGGCGTTTCCTAGGACTGTTGGCGGGGGGGCGTTTTCCTAGGAATCCGGACGACGCTATAGATATAAACCATTTTTATACAATTTTATACATTTCTAGTCATAACTAGCGCATTGAAAAGTATAAAATATTTGAAAAATTAGAAATTTTTAGACAAAAGTAGATATTTTTATTATTTCATGGCAATCAAAACTACTAATAATCTATAAAAATGCAGCCTATGTTATTTCCGCTAAAAATCTCCCCCCGCTAACAGCCCAGTACCAGTTTTCCTACACGACGCAAGGATCCATATTTGCACCCGGAAATGCAATCTATTGCGATTTGTGAGCTATTTTCGTAAAAGTACAAAGTACAAACGACATAAAATCACGCGTCGTCAGCTTGATCAACCTAAAAAATCTTTCCCCCTTATTGTAATTTACTGATGCGCGCAAAAATGAGCGTGACGTGTGCGGGGAAAGGCATCTAATTAGAAGCTGTGTTCGGATGGACGAGCCCGATGAAGAGAATTGTATTTGGGGGGTAAATGGATGGATCCCCCCAGCTCGGATTATCTCCTTTCCGAAACACCACTCTAAACGCTTTCTAGATTTGCGTGGGAGTATCGAAACGGAATGGTTTTTGTGGCATGTTAAAGCCCTCCAAAAGCGCTACAGATTGAGTTTTTTGGATTTTGAAGACTTTTGTCATATTCGACCGTAATTTTCAATTTTGTATTTGAGTTGGCGGATTTTGTAAAAAATATGCGGCTCAGGCTAAAATAGGATTTAATTAGGGATTTAAAAATAGGTTTTACTCAGTTTCTCGAGCGCTTTCGAATGGTTTAAAATCATTTTGACCTCATGCTCCTCAGAAAAATTGGGAAAAATCTGAGTTTGAGCTTTCCAAAAACTACTAAAAAAGTTCCAAATTTTTCAATAGCTTTTTAACGTTCAATAAAAACCGTGTAAAAACTTTTCCGATCTGGTGCTCCTCCGAAAACTAGTTTGAACTTTCTAAAAATCGCTGAAAACCATAAATTTGAACTTTTCCAATGCACTTTTTAAAGTATTTTTGCTCAATTTTTCAAGAACTTTGAGCGTTTTAAGAACCATTCCAACCTCATGCTCCTTTAAAAAGTTATAAAGCTTTTTGTATAAACTCTAAAAATATTTCTACAATTGCCTTCCATACCTTTATTGTATCGTAAGTCTGGTGGGTGGTGCTCAATACCCAATGAGAATGACAGAAAATGAGGCGTGTAGTAAGAGGGATATAGAGGGATTAATGGGGGGTCGATTGTTGGTGAGGAGGAGGTCGGATTTGCCTTTTGGTTCGCTTTCCTTCCCTGAGCCTGGCTACCGGGCAACCACAGCCTTTTATCCGCCCTTCACAAACCCCTCCTCTCACTCACCCAAATCACCCATCCCGGCCGCCCGTTTTGCCCGTATTCACGTTTTGATTTTACATCATTTATTTTACAAAATTTCATAGTTTTTAAAGTTTCTAATGCTTGTTTTTCGATAGCTTTAGCTATGAAAAGTAGCTATTCCAAGCTTTTTAATTTTGTAGATATTTTTTGGCTATTAAAACTAGCCATTTTGATTTTTTTAAAATTGTTTAAACAATTCCGATGAATTGTGGTAACTTTTTTAGCGTTAGATAATTTCTAAACTTGATTTTTCTAGCTTGAAATGAGCCATTTTTTCGTTTTAACATTCACCTGCGCCAACTTTTTCAAGCTATACAATTTCAAATTGAATTTTATTCGAAAAATAGGCCGTTTAATCGTATTTTCCTCATCTTTTCACGTTTATTTTAAGTTATAGAATTTATTAAAGGGGTGTGCAAGGCATTCCCAGAATTTTTCCGCAACTCTGTTACATTACACGTCATTGCTTCAAGTTTCGGAAAGTTTCGGAAAATTCGAGAGAAAATCCATACCGCTACAAAATCCATATCCATACCTTCCCAGCCCCTTGACAATCGCAACCACTATACGATTCGGTCCCCCAGATTTCAATCGTCCAGCTTTACACCCCAAAATTGTAACCGCTTCTGGTTTTTGTTTTCCTTTCCGGTGGGATATGGCGGGCCTCGGGCCCCTCCTTCCCTCTTCCCTTCCCCCCCTGCCTCCCCCCCCAGGGCTACAAATTTGAAATTGCCATGGTGCCCCCGGGGTAATTAATCGGATTTCTTCTGTGAAGCAGTCCCCCCACACACCAAGGCATATTGTTCGCAGATTTTCAATTATTATAAGGTTATTATAATGTTATTACAAAGGGTTAGCAAGATCTGTCTATTGCCTTTGACTGACTTTAGTGGGTTTTCAATGTGTACTTTGATTTTGAGAAAGGCTGAGGCTAGGCTTAGGTTTAGGCTGGGGCTTAGGCTTAGGACAGGGTTAGGCCTAAGCTTAGGTTTAGGCTTACCTTAGGCCGATGCCTAGGCTTTGGCTGAGGCTTAACTTAGGCTTAGGCTCAGGCTTAGGCTTAGGCTTAGGCTTTGGCTTATACTTAGGCTTTGGCTTGGGCACAGGCTTGGGCTTAGGCTTACCTACTTCTCTCTTTACCTTTATATTCGAAAATTGCCTTCTTCAATTTGGTCCAATTTTCAATCTTTTAAGGCTTGCCCCACAAAGCCAAATTGGTGGAGCGGCCTAGGCCGCCCACAAAGAGCAGCCAACCACAAGCCGAGCACCCCGAAAACAGCTTGACAGCTTTTTCAAAAGCCGCTTCAACCCCTCGATTTCCTCGATTCGATTTCCCTTAATTCCCCATCTACCAACGAAACCACGGGCCCAAAATGAACACGGTGGTGATCCAGAGTTCAGGTGTGTTGTCTGCTGCTCCTTTTTCATGTGCTTTTCCTAATTTTTAAAGTGATGGCCACATCGCATGGCATTCATCGGCTGAATCGGCATAAGGCGGCGCAACAGCGTCTCTTCCACATCCCCGCATCTGAACGGCTTGCCCTCGTCGCCAGGAATAGAATGACTAAGTGCTGGGAGTTGTAGTTTGTAGTTTGTGTTTGCTTGGGGTTCATAAAAATCTGAAAATTCGGTGCTCGGCCGCAGGTCGGCCGGTAGTTGGCCTTGTTGTTCAAGAGTCTGTCCCCCTTTGGAAGGACAGCTACCCGGTTAGTACAATGGTAAAGTTGTCGCTTCTTAATCTCACGACGAGGGTTCGAATTCCCTGGCTCCCTAAGCTTTTTGCTTTTTTCTCATAAGTTTTCTATCACTTTTCTATAACTCTAGACTCCAAGTTAGATTCTAAATTTTTTATCTACCTTCCAAATCCTCACCTAAACCAATTTTCTTACCCCCACCCAGCGAAGGCTGTAAATTTCCACCCGCCACCCCCTTTGGATGTTGCCATAGTATTCCGGCGTACTACCCCCTACGACACGATTTCCACTAGCCACCCCAGCTGTACTAATTACGGCTCAAGATCCAGGGGGAAATTTTGAAACCATAAGCTTATTTTAATGTTTACCCTTTCTAGAAAAGCCCTGAAAAGCGAGGATGATCTGGAAGAGCCGAATTCCACTGAAGATATGCCTTTTATTGAGCAGACGTCAGCAAGATTTGCAAATGTATTTGAAGGAATACGGTAGTTTCGTAATTCTGTGTATTTAGCCTGTAATGGGTATCGTTGTGGACAACCCACAAGTCGAACAATTTCTGCGGCTAAACGTCGGCGGGCAACGGTTTATGCTGAGGAAGGAAACGGCGATTAACCGGAATGTTGGTAAGTGAAAGTTTCCATTAGTAAATAAACATAATAAAAAGTTTAAAATAATTTAAAACCTTAATTTTTCTAAACCTCAAAAGTTAAGTTAAAGTTAATTATACCTAAATTTCAACGTAAATAATTCATAGAGCTAGTTTGGACTGCTAAAGGCTTGTTCTAATAAACACAATAAAAATATTAAAACAGAAATTTTACTTAATTGGCTATAAAATTAAAATAGTTCATGTCGATTTTTATTTCATAAAAACAACTTCTGATTGATACCTACCGGACAATAAAAGTAAAGGAAAAAATTAAAACACTAAAATTAATTGTCTAAACGTTCACAAGTATTTTTTTTGCAATTTAATTAATTTAATTTAATTCAATTTAAGTAAATTTGAATCCTTGAGGGCGCCTCTCCTGGCTGGCATCTGTAGACCACGACGAGAGAATGACGCTGGCAGATGCCTACTTTGCCTCCACTTCCGAATATTACTTCGAACGTGCCCCATCCCTATTCCACGTTGTTTTCCAATTCTATTTAACTGGTAGGGCTGGATTTTATGGTCTGTAGTCTAGAGTTTGTAGGCCAAATCCATCAACCTTCCCATTTATGCCCAAATGATATTCTGGACGAGCTGGATTGGTGGGGCGTCGAGCCTGAGGCTCATTTGGCGCCTTGTTGTTGCCAGGAGGATGAGGTAAATCTTTTAATTTAGTTAAATTTGTTCATATTTAAGTCACACGATTACAAATTCTACCGAAATTGGTGTATAAATTTTTCTATTTCATAATTTTTCAAACTTTTAAATTTGTTTTTATTCAATTTAAAAAACGTGAAATTGCATTATTTTCGTTTAATCATAATTAACTAGTTATTTTTAGCAAGATCACGATTCGCTGGATTCGATCTCGAGCACCGAAGAACGCGCCAACATCTTCAAGCACCTCCGCTTCGGCAACACCCGAAAACAGATGTGGGATCTGATGGAAGAGCCGACTAGGTATCAAAATTAAGCTTATAACTCCCTCCTAATATACCTCGTACGATAGAACGTTCAATTCTCGACAAGATAAGCGTCGTAAAAAATAGGAATTAATACAGTAACCCAGAAAAATCCGAATTACGTCCGATTTTCATCCTTTTGCAGCTCTCGCTACGCCCAAATCTTCGCCACGATCTCGGTGCTCTTCGTGCTGATCTCAATATCCGGTCTGGTACTTGGCAGCCTCCCAGAATTACAAGTACACTCCAAGAATCAACCCCCAAACAGCACCAAGGTCAACACAACCATGAATCGCCTTGTTGGTAGGGTTTTGGCTTAGTTAAAACTCAACGGAAGCGAAAAAAATTTTATATTGGGAAAATCGCAGTTATTATAAACTTTTAGGAAAAAAATGGCGGGGCTGGGAAGAGGGCGAGGTGAATTTTGAAACTTTTTAAGCTGTAACATAGCCAAAACTTTGAGCAAACAGCAAAGAATCGAACCCTAGTCTTGTGGCCGAAAAATCCACGCCGTACCAATTGCTGCAAATCAGCGTAAATTATCAAACTATACAATTAATTTACTTGTCCCTTTCCGAATTTTCAGAAAAAAATTTGCGAGGGCTTCGCCCCCCAATGCAAAGCGCGAGAGCCAAAGACGGTTGTCCGTCGATGGAACTCGGCCTTGTACCAAAATTATTAAAGGGCCGCTCGCGCGACCCTTTTATCCCGCGGCCGGGTCTTCTTAAAAAAAAAGAATCCGTGGACCCATTGCCGACCAACCCGACGAGGCGCGGATACATTGTCGGGGTGGTCCAGACGGGGGGCTAGTCGCAATTGGGCAGAGAGCAGGCGGAGAGCGCTCACAGGGGGTCTTTCCCAACAAGCCCTCACACCCACCCTGAATACCTTTCGCAGTCAATTATTATAGACTAAAACATCACAATAATATCTCAATTCTTCACTGTTTAGGATCAGTTTTTTACGCTGAATCCGAATCTGAAACTCGTTTTCCTCTCAAACCTATCGTTTCCGAGATACGACGCCGTTTCGCAAGGACATCGAAAAGATTTGCGCAGAAAAAGCCCTCTATCTTTCCAGAAACGTAGGCGCGCATTTCGTTTATATATGTAATTTTGCGCTGATCGAATTGCAACGGCGCTTAGGGTTGTCGCTAAGACTCGTGCCATTTCTTTGAAAAATCCAGTCCGAGTTGAATGAAGAAAAGCCCTATATCTTTCCCTAGAAGCATCGGATCGTAATGATTTTTACACCATTCGAAAGCTCTTCAAAAACTGAGTAGAACCGTTGTTTTAATTTGCTAAAATATCAGCTTTCAGGCAAACTTTTTCAGATGGCACCCTGGCGCCGATCGAAAAGGAGCCCCATCCCTATTTGCAACAAATGGAATATATTTGCATTGTTTGGTTTATTTTTGAATATGGTGGGTTGGATTTTCAGCCTTAGAATCGATAAAAACTATGTAAAAACGTTAGGCGAGAAACTAGAAACTTTTTTCAGGCCTGAAAATGCTGGTGGCGGCGGATCGTCGTAAAATTTTCTTCCAACTGCTCAACCTTATTGATCTGTTTGCTATTTTGCCATTCCTCATCGAAATGATGCTCATGATTTTCGGCATCAGCACCGAGCAGCTCAGGGATTTGAAGGTAAGTTAATTTTGACGTAACGGCGCCTGAAACACCTGAAAACGGCGATTCGAAGCTCAAAATGCCGAAAAATCGGACTTATAGAGGAAAGTCAACTTTTAAAATGTGCTATGTTGATCAGTTATGTTTTATAAACTCTATTTTATTAAACTATAACAAGCTAGCGGTTTAATGGGATAGTTACAACTTCAATCCAGCGCTTTTTTCCGTGGATTTGAAGACCATTTTGTTAAAAAGGACTGATTTTGAGCTATATTCTACTATGCGTTCTAAAGCATGTTTAGTTCAAAAAGATCGATTCTTGCACCAAATTGACCTTTCAAAAGCTCTATTTTACTAAATCATACTCTTAAGGTATCTTTAATTGAACTAGAAAAAGCTCAAGATATAACAAAGTATTTATTACAATTTTCTACCCATTTTCCAGGGCGCCTTCCTCGTGATCCGTATCCTGCGTGTTTTGCGCGTGATCCGCGTGCTCAAATTGGGGCGCTACAGCTCCGGCTTGCAAATGTTCGGCAAAACCCTTAAGGTATCATCTAGACAAGTTTCCAATATAGATTAACAACTTCTTTCCCAGGCATCATTCCGTCAACTCGGCATGATGGCCATGGTCGTGCTCACCGGGGTCATCTTCTTCTCGACGCTTGTCTACTTTTTGGAGAAGGACGAACCGAACTCGGGCTTTTATTCGATACCCGCGGCCTGTTGGTGGTAAGTCGGAAAAGTGCAGCAAAACCTTGATTTTAACTACTTTATCGTTATTTTATCGTTTTAATTTTGCACCGAAAATTTTGAAAAATTAAGTTTTAAGCTTAAAAAGTTATTTTTCAAACCTAAAATCGCTAAGGGAAGCGCTAAGATACTAAAATAAGTTTTGCTTCAATTAAATTATTGCTAATAGATCTGAAAAGAAAGAAATAATCTGCATTTTGTAAAGTTTTCAGCGTTAAAAATACGAAGTTTAGACGTAAAAACAACTTTATAAGCTTTTATACGCTTTCTTAATTTGTAAAAAAACCCAAAATTGCTAAGAGATGCGATAAAACACTAAAATAAACTTAATAAGCGCGAAAAGAAGAGGAAAACCTGAACTTTACAAAAAATTTTCGTCAAAAATGGCTAGTCTTACCCGGAAAGCCATAAAAATGAAAACCTTTGAAGCTTTTGCAACTTTTCTACAACTTTCTGAGCTTAAAAATTATATTTAAAGTTCAAAATCTATAGGAAAGTAGCTAAAATACAAAAATACTTCTTATTCAGGTGTATTGTCACGATGACCACCGTTGGTAAGCTAGAAAACGTTGTCAAGTGCCGGTTTTAAGACCCTAAAGATTTCGGTTAATTTCAAATCCACCAAAATTGTTTCAGGATATGGAGATCTGACCCCGACTACAGTTCGTGAGTTTTTATAAAGTCCATTTAAAATTCAAAGGTTTAAAAAAGAAGAAAATATCGCGATTTTCAGCCGGAAAGCTGGTGGCGACGGGGGCGATCGCATGTGGAGTGCTCGTTCTCGCGCTTCCCATCACCATTATTGTGGGTTTAATTGGATTTTATGTATCATTAAGAACTAAAGTTGTTTTATTACTAAGAACTATTAAAAAATATGCAAAACTAAAAATTTTAGGTGGACAACTTCATGAAAGTGGCTGAGGGTGAGCGAGAAGGGGCCAGACGACCATTTAGAAGGCTTCATCCGGCTGCTGCGTAAGTTTCTATAAAAATATAATATATTTCAATTTATCTATATTCATTTATGACTAATTTTATCTTATTTCTAGCCCCCGACCGTCCACCACCCAAATCGAAACCCGAAAAAAGATGCAATCAACGACGGAAGACACAATTTGCTAAGATCGCACAGACTAAAGATGATTTCCAAATTGATAAATTGTATTTTGCCCCTTTTGTATTTTGTAAATCGCAAGTCACTGCTCGTTTTAGAAAGCTGATTCTCCTGATGAGCCAAGGAGACCGAACTGACCTATTGCTTAGACTTCCTATTTAGCATACGACTGCTCAACATTTACCCGGAGATTGAGCAGTTGGCTAGATTCGGAACGTTAGGCGTCATTTCATCTGATTCGAGATGAAGAACAGTCGTGCCCCTCCCCCGCTGCCCGGCCCCGCGAGCGGCACTTCATCGGCAGCGAAGGTATCTTGTGTGCCTGAAAAGTCGAAAAATAGGGGCTTCTCTGTTAAAGGGCACGTTCAGGGACGTTTTTTGAAAAAAAGCAAAGGTATTTGCCGCGGCCGGGGGTCGAGCCCGGGCCTCCCGCTCGGGAGGCGCGGACGGATACCAGTCAGCCACAGACAACCTGGCGAGGGGACAAGGGGCGTCCCACGCCGCAAAGGAGGGGAATGGCCTGTCACAGCACGGGTAGGCCGTGCGCGCGGTCCCTACGTCCATAGGGTGTACACGTTGGGACGAGTACACGGCCCCTCCCTGAACGTGCGCTTTAACCGGCGAAACCAATAGTATTTAGCACAGTTTTTAGATAAAAAGTGTTATAAAAACTACAAAATTTTTTTAAAACTTTGGCTTTTGATGAAAATGTATGAAAATGGTCACATAAGCCTAACATTTCGAATTTTCCAAATTTCTTCGAGATTTCTTAACTTTTGGCAGTCAAAAATAGTCAAAATAATATAAATTACTCTATTTCTTATTAACTTGTAGGATAGGCGGAAAAATAAGATTCAGCTTCCTCCGTTAACAGGAGAGTACCGGAAAAGAATAGCTGATCTCTGGAAATTGAAGAAATTCTGGAAAATTTGTTAAAATATGTTTTATAACTTTCTAGGAATCAAAATTAATAATAACACTACAAAAATACACAATTTGTTGCTAACAGGCTGGTATGGGCGGAATCTAAATAATGAATTGCTGACTTGGTAATCATCTCCTTCAGGAGCCTGGCAAGCTGAGAAACTACCAGCCGATTCGGCCGAGCTTCCTCTACAGGACCAGCGGAGCCTCCTCCAAAACCAACAACGACATCGTCGTCCTCGAGCAGGCCTTGTTCGCGGACTCCGAAGCCCTCGCCACTGGTACGTAGACCGTAATAAAGAAGGTGTTTCGAAACCGTCTTTACTATCCAAAACCTGAAAATGTCGCAAAAAACTATTAAAAATACTAAATAGCGATTTATCGACCAAAATTTCAAATGTTTAAGCGTTTTTTTTTGTTTGATAATAGCTAATTTAGTTTTATACTATTTTTTAGTAGTTCTTGATTGCTAGAACGTTACAACAAAGATTTATGAAAAATTCTTGAAAAGTCGAAGAAAATCTTGGCTTTTTGCTGTCATTTTTATACGTTTTTCACCAAAAAGTCAAAAATTTTCGAAAATGTATCTTATCGACGGAATGATATTCCTAATTCAGCCCCGGCATCTCGCCCCCCCGGTGACCAGCATGCGCGCCTGCCTCTTGCAGCGTCTTCCCGCGGTATGTGGTTTCCTATCGATTTCTATGTTCATTTACAGGAGCAGCGCAAAGCCTTCGACAAAGAATTCCCCGCCAACCCGAACCCCGTCGTCGTCACCCACAGCTCGTCGACCGGTGACAACAACTTCAAGCACGATACTTGTCAGCTCCACAAGAAGAATTAAAATTCTCTTATTTTCAATGTCTAGATGCTTTCAAGCTAGATTGTCTAGATATTTAATCTATGCCAGCGATCGGGATAAAGAATCTGAAAGAAAAGACTACCGGGCTGTGCATGGAATATTCGGCCTAAAAACACATGGGGGCAGTTGGTGAACACTGCTAAGCCCTACAGTGGTTGTCTGGATGGATTGTTCGGCCCCGGCTCCGGCTCTTGGAATAACCCGGCCGCATCCACGACGCAAGAACTCTGGAAACACCCGCTCTCGCTCTTTCTATAAGCTACTAAAAACAACGTAAATTTTATTTCCTCAAGTCTCGGGGGGCGGGGGGCGTTTAGAGGTCAAAACTTCAGAATTCAGTCAAAATGGCAAGCCCTTAGCAGGCACAATCCAAACAGGGGGATACTAAAAGATAAGCAGCATTCAATATAGTTAATTCTTCGCAAAGATAATAATTTTTTCAAAAAGGTGGACCAGAATACTATAATTGTCAGAAAATGAAGAAACACAACGCTGAGAATGATCACATGCAGTTGTTATAGGCATAAACTACAAGTGAGAAAAACAAGGGCACCTTGTCTGGTTTGTGGTATATCCGTAGTCGTAGCGTCGCGTTTCTTCCACTGTAGAAAGATATGGGCGGGCCGTTGGAGAGACGAGACGCGGGGGCTTGTTCTCTAAAAATAAAGGTAGCTTTAGAAATAGAGGATAGCGTCTACCTCGTGTCAGTGTGGCCGAGCGGGAGGAAGGGCTGATAGAGCGGTTGCCGCTGATGGTGGAAGTCGATTTGAACGCCACGTTCGAGGGATCGCTGGAAAATAAAAATAGATAAAACAGGCTAGAGCTCCTTTCTGATCTCTCAAAACAGCAAAACAGCTTTTTTATCAAGTCCAGACATTGCTATTAATCTAACCGGAAGAACGTTAGTAGGGAATTCAGCAAGTTTTAACTTCTAACCTAACTCCTAAGTTCTCCTAGCGCTACAATAGCTCCCTCAACCAAGATCATAATTACAAAATCAACAAACGAAAAGAATCTATGAGAATTTTACCTCAGCAAATACCGGATTCCGATTGTACCGCGTCCCAGCGCAAATCTCGACGATTCAGCGGAGTGCTTGTGAGTACAGATTCGTAGTCTTGTCCTGGTTGTGCCACGAAGTAAGGTTGCGCAGGTTCCTTTTCAGGAGATTGTTCCCGAGACCGAGCCCCGATCCGCAGCCAGCTTTTCATCGTACTGAAACAGGAAATATTAGATCTATATAGAAATGATGCTACATACTTGGCGATGCTTTTCCTTCTCTGCTGTTTATCCGATGTTCGTGCCGCTCCAAATCGTTGAGCAATGACGGGTGATAGATCCTGTGACGGGCCAATTTCTCCAGCGACGGCATGTTTGAAGGAAGGGTTCTTGAAGCCGGTTGACAACGAGGTGGGCAGCAGTTGTGGGGCTTGTGGGTCATCTGGGCGCATTTGAGAAGTGGCCAGATTCGCGTCAACACTTTTCGAGCGACGGCGGGCAGTCGTCGCACCTAAAGATCGAAATTTTAAAGTTTATTTACTTCAATAATTTAGATGAAGCTGAACCAAATAAAAATCAGAGAAAAACAAAAAGAAAAAAGCGCACCAGGGTCAACATCAAGATAATCAATAGCCGGATCTCGCGGAGGATTGGTGTCTGTTCTTTCGCCATCAGTGGATGTTGTCGGTCTTGGATGTACAGATACGGAACGGGCTTTTGCTGCTGCTCTCGTCGATGCTGATCGATTCTGGCGGAACGATCGAGAAGCCGAAGATGTTGGGGCTAAAACAGGAAAATGGGGTAGTTAGCAAATGTTGCATGATTCGCACGGTTGTTGTAAAAGCATATAAAAACAAGTTTATTGACCTATCAATCTCATTTTGCCTACCAAATATGTTCTAATACCTTAGATGGCTAATTTCGTTGTATCAATAGCTCGTTCAACTTCATGCTTATTCTGCAAAAAGTTACTTAGCAAATACTTCCGTGCAAATAGTCCCAAATTCGCTAATTGCCAAAAATAGGCATCCAAAGCGCAAACGTAGACCCAGAAATAAGTCCCAACGTTTCAACATAATCTGTTTCATCTCACCACTAGTTTGCCGTTAATGATTGATCTTCTGATATGTCGTAGAATTGATCGGATCAATCGTCTTCCGCCCAGGAGCCTCTCGATCGAAAGCGCCAGCATCAGGCTGCAGATCTTCTTCGACCTCGCTGCGCCGTGTAGAGGTACTCGCGTAGCTGGCGTCTCTTTCGTGATGCTAAACACAATTTTGCTTGTTTAAATCGTTTAACTACATTGTTGATTGAAAAGAAGCCGCTTTGAGGCGTGGATGGGCCGCCGATGAGAATGGTAGAATCTGGGCCGTCTACCGTAACGCGAGTTGAGCCATCAGGAGAAACATCCGACGAGAGGACGACGATTTGTCGCAACACTCGCAATCTAAAAAAGACAAATTTCAGTACGAGTTATAATAAACTCTTTACCGAACATGACTCGTCGTATGCCCAATCCTTTTCAATTCCTTTGTCACTGCTTCGCTGGCATCAGCGTTCTTTTCGAATTTTCGAAGATCAATGTCCTAAAATTCCAAATTAAAGGCAGAGAATCAATCTTATACTTCAATCGAAATCAGCTGATCATCAACCAACAATCGTCCATCTTTCCACGCGGCTCCTCCAACCAGTAACTGAAAACATAATTGAAGTATTCGAAAACTAAAGTTACTTTTTTGATGAAAATTCCACAATCGCGCCGGGATCCATCGTCTTTGATTGAGACTCGAGCTTTCAAGGAAAGACCAAGCCCCGCAGAGCCAGTATCATTCAGCGGAATGTCGAACGAATACTCCTAAGATTACAAAATTACAATAGAAGGTTCTTGTTATACCTTGATATCATTGGAAGTGTTCACTAGACGGGCTTTGTGAATAGATCTCGGTGCTGGTGGTGTTCCTTCTTCTTTCTTTTCAACAATTTCTTCTTTTTCAGCAACTTCTATGGCTGCAGTGCTTGTCGATGCCGGGGGTTGATTTTCGTCGTTCGCTTCCGCCAACTAAAAAGCGTAATTTGCAGTTTATTGTGAGAACTTACTCTAGAGATTTCCAAAGTGACGCTTTCGCCAACAGGCGTTTCCTTCAATCTGCGAACAATATCGGCTTGTTGAAGTTCAACCGTAGGCACGTCATTTACCTTAAAATCGTTAAATACTAGCCGCAAACCGTTGAGCAGACCTTGATCAGCCTATCGCCAGAGCGTAATTGGCCAAAAGCCGGGCCATCCGGTTTCACATTCCCAATATAACGCAATCGCTCTCCTTTTGTCGTTTCTCGGCCGGTGACCGTGAAGCCGAAACCGTTTGGCTCTAAAAATAGAGGGTTTTAACGAGGGATTGTGCCTACTTCGGACAATGGTGATGGTAAATGTTTGGCCGACAGCTTGACTATTTGCCTGTTGAAGGGCAGAGAGTGCCATCTTCTTTTGGGAGATCACCTTCGCTTCGGCTCTAAAATTCTCTTTATAATGATAGTATAGTGGCGAAACATACTCATGAAACGATTGAATCGTTCGATCAATCGTCAATGTGGGCGCAGGGCGAGTTCGGAGCTCGTAAAGAAGAGCACGAGCTTTCAGAAGGGTTAACTGAAGAGAAGAAAACATTTATTACAACTCTATTTGGCCCATCCCATTAGCAGAATGCCCATCAATAGCAACAATCATATCCCCAGTTCGTATTCGTCCATCTTTGCCCACTCGACCATCAGAATCAATCTAAAAAATGAAAAATAAAAGCAAAAAGGCTGTTGAAAACCTTTGTGATTTCAAAAGCCGAAGAGGGAGTCGCTCGGGGAGTGTCAAATTCGTCGGTAATCTGGAAATAAGGCGAGTTTTAAAGTTTGCTTTCGAATAACCTCAATCCCGACGTCCAATTCATCTGTATTGGCCAATATCACGATTGTGTGCAAAGGATTTTCGATGGATTGGATCAGTGAAGGTTTCTTGACAAAGCCATCTAAGGAAAGGATAAAATAAAACTTTGGAAAGCTTACTCGAATCAGACACAGATCTTGGGATCCCCGGTTGAGATCCTGACGACATGCTATCACGCAGCTTTTCCTAGAAAAAACAAGATTTTTGGCAACCAAGTTTTGATAAAACCTGGGCATCCCAAAATTTATCCGAAATTCGTGATTTTCGTGCAGAAATTCGTATCCCATCCCAAAATGTCTCCGAGATTCGTCCCAACGCGTTCCGGTGTTCTGTTTGTATGGGAGTGTTCTAGAAAAAAAAGGCATCAAACGCTAGATCAAAGCTAAAACCTGGACTCAGAGTAACGGTCCTGGGAGCCGAATCGAGTTCCCGTGTTGGAACGAAGGGATGAGCGCAGCGGGGCGGCCTAAGCGATCGAATTAAGTAAATTGAGATTCGCTCGAGATTCACTCGAAAAACGAAAAAACGTACCTGTTGTTACTTAAAAAACAATCTTCATTTTTAATCGGCGGAGCTTTCGAAGTCGCAAAATTCCGAAACACCATCATCATTTTCCGAAACACTACTATGTCGTAAGGTGGAGCCGGTCGGACTCACAAATTTCCGAAACACTGTTGCTGACGAGAGAAACGAAGTGCTAAAATCTCATTGCTTTGCCCATCTTCGTTTCTTCATTCCTTCGCTATATTTTCTTTTATAGGCCGGAAGGATGGGACAAATGGACGGCAAGACGGCACCTGACTTCAAAGCCGGTTTTTTGGATGTTTGGCGGTTAGTCGTTTTCGTGATACTCCTCCGCCGATTCTTTTTAGGTAAAAATTCGAATGAAAGTGAGGCCAACGTCGACGGGAATAGCAAGAAGCGAGAGATGACTCTGAGGGCGACAATTTGGCGCTGGGAAGCTGTGCGGAAGGAGTCAAGTCGGTGCCGATGAGGAGGAATGGAAGATGATGCAGGTAGTAAGTGTTGATAACTTAGTTTAGAAAAGACTACGCGATGCTACGATTGTCGGTACTTTGCAAACTGCGCGCGAATCAAGACGCGATTTGGGGAGGCTGAGTTTATGAACGATAACGAAAGTTCTTCAAATCGAACGATTTAAACGCAGGTAGTTTCTATTCTAGTTTTTGGGTAGAAAGATTTTTATAGATTTATTTAGTCCGACTGCTCAATTTAGATTTATTTGAGCGTTACAAGCCTAGCTTGCGGCGCAAGTGCTCGCAGCTAGACGTTTTGCGGGCCCAAAGTCTCGTCAAAACCTAGCCCGGCATAAAAGTTTGCTTGAAAAGCAAGTTTTTGCTTAATTTTATGTGAGCAGGCGTTTTTTATAATTCATTAATTATCAGTAATCAGACGCCATTAAAAACTTTATTTACAGAACGATAACTACAAAAAATTTAGACAGTTGCATTACAAGAGATTAGTTTATTTCCTTCGTTGGGCTTCTACTTGTCGGCGTTGCCTTTCGGGGAGGGCCAGGGGCTGTCGCAGTGCACGTAGGGCGTGTCGGGCGTCGTCGGCTTGGAAGCCATCGGCTGCACCTCGTTCTGTAAAATTTGTAAAATATTTTGGTACTGGACTGGTAGCGGGGGGGGGGGAGCGGGCTGGTTTTTTTTATTTGCCGCTCATACCTCTTGCTCATACATATTGCATTTTTGTGGGGTTTTGAGTAGTTTTTGATCACTAGGATCTAGCACAAATTTACTAGGAGCCAATTTGAAAATCTATATTTTGTTTAAAATTTCAAGCTCAATCAAATGAGCTATTTCATCTAGCAAAAGTCCGAAATTCCACCATTTTTTATCCAAATCGTTGTTGATTTTTGGAGTTTGATGATTAGAAACTGTATTAATACACTTTAGATACCGCAGGAGTGACCTTTTTCGGGGATTTGAATCTATGCTACGAAAATGATTTTTCTTGTTCCTGGGTATCGAAATGTGTAAGGACACAGAAGCAACCATAAAATCCACCACCTGTGCCTTCTTCTGAGGAGTGCGAGGCTCGGCAAGCGTCGACGTCGTCGGGGCGGGGGAAGCGGCCATCGTCATCTCGAATTTGCCGAAATAGGCGCCCTGAAATCAGGTGGATAAAGTAACGGGGGAAGCTAAGAGTCCCAATATGGTTCTTTCGCATTATCGGGGTGGGGGGGGGGCTTTCCCACAAGACCAGAAGAGTCTTAAAATAATATATTAAAATCATTTTAATCGCCATTAAATAAAAAAATAGTTGATTTAGAAAATGCGATAACCATGTATTTTCGCATTATTATTTTTTAAGTCTTGAGTAAAATTTGTATTTTGTATGTTTGGTAATAGTAAAAACATTTTAAAATACACGCTCTATTTGGGTTAGAAAAAATTTAGAAATAGCTAGAATGAAAAACCCACAAAATTTTCAGCGGTCAATGGGACCTTCTTCGAGTTGTCCTTCTGCGGGAGCCCAACCATCTGCCCAGAATATCGGAACGTATGACAAGCCAGATCCCCATTTTCTTCTGATACGCGGAACGCATTCAAATGAAGTATTTAGCAAAACGTTGAGTCTTGAATTAGACTTTTCGTAAGTTCAGGAATGCCTAGTAACGTAATAATAAGTGTTAAAATTATGTTATTGGCAAAATTTAACTATATTTGAAGCGAAAAACCATCAAAAAAACTTGTAAAGACTTTTTTGGTGCCATTTTGGTGGAAAAACCGATATTTTTACATTTTTTAACCAAAATTTGTAAAGCGTTACCGCTTAAAGAATAGTAAAAACGGTTTAAAAACACTTTCTCTATTTATATTTGAAAAACCTTCGTCATGGCCGCCTCCATAGCAAATTTATTAAAATGCTACATCAAATACTTTCTCTTTAACCGGCCGCGAATTCCGAAACACTACTGTCGTTAGTTGGAGCCGATCGCACTCGCAAATTTCCGAAACACTACCTTGTTTGTGCCTTGCGGACCCTAAAAAATAATTTGAGTTTTGCAGGTTATTCGATTATTCAGGTGTTGAAAACTTAGTTTAGAATGGATTACGCGATGCTACGGTTGCCGGTATCAATGGACTTTGCAAGCACCCCGCGCGAACCAACGTTATTTTGGAGAAGGCGCAATAACGAACGCGATTTGAACGTAAGTGGCTTCTATTTCAATATTTTTGTTGCTATCCGGTGTTCCCGCTGCTCAATTTCACTGTAGTTTAGCGTTTCAAGCCACTCTAAACTCGAAATTTGGATTGAAAAAAATAATTTTTTCCACCAAAATTGCGGCTAGAAAAATTTTTCAAGGGTTTTTTTGTCGACCGTATCTGGGAAGGGGCTGGCTTGTTATTTCACCACCATCCATCCACTCATACAGTCGGTATTTCGCAAGATGTTGGTCGGCCGGAGAAACGCGCGATCCAAGAGCCCGACGGAATATCGAATGAACCTAGAGCCCCCCCAACTGAATACCGATCAACCGGAAGGCTCAACTGAATACGGATCAAACGGAATTTCCGACCATAACAGCCCTCCAAACAGCGACACTGAATATAGATGAAGCCGCTCGCCGGCCATATTTATATAAAGCGGCTAGTCCAAAACTTCACTTTACCCCTCTACGCCTAAGCCGAACCCTAAGCCATGGCCTAATCTAAGCCTAATCCTAAGCCTAAACCTAAGTCCAAGCCACAGCCTAAGCCTAAGCAATCTAATGCCTAAGACTAAGCCAAGCAAGCCTAAGCCTAACCTAAGCCCAAGCTTAAGGCGAAATTCAAATGAGCGGTTTGCTGGAAGTTGAAACCCTCTATTTTCTTTTGAAGTTATTTTCAGTAATAATACCAATCAACTTCATTTAATAGTGCATTAAACTCTGCACAGGATACACTTATTAAAAAATTATATAATTCTTACAGTAACTCAGAAAAATCCGAAATACGCCCGATTTCCATTTATTTTCTATGCCCGAATCTTCGCCACGATATCGGTCGGTGCTCTTCGTGCTGATCTCAGCTTCCGGCCTGGTACTTGTTCCAATCAACCTAGATTAGGAAACTACGATATTAATTTACTTGGCATTTTCATATTTTAGAAAAAAATTGGCGAGGGCTACGCCAACGCGCGAGGCGCGGACGCCAAAGACGGTTGCCCGTCGATGGCATTCGGCCTGCACCCAAAATTTGTTATAAGGGCCGCTCGCGCGACCCTTTTATCCCGCCGCCCGAGGGTCTTAAAAAAAAAGCACCCAGGCTGATTGCAGACCAACCCGACGAGGCGCGGATACATTGTCGGGGTGGTCCAGACGGGGGGCTAGTCGCAATTGGGCAGAGAGCAGGCGGAGAGCGCTCACAGGGGGGTCTTTCCCAACAAGCCCTCGCACCCATCCTGAATACCTTTTGCAATCCATTATTATAGACTAAAACATCACAATACTATCTCAATTCTCTACTGTTTAGGATCAGTTTTTTACGCTGAATCCGAATCTGAAACTCGTTTTCCTCTCAAACCTATCGTTTCCGAGATATGACGTATTTTAGGAAAAACAAAGGATAAATTTTCACAGCAAAAGCCCTTTATCTTTCCGCAAGCGTAGAGCATCGATCAGAATTTTGTTTTATATATGAAATTTTTTGCGCTGATTCCGAATCTGCAATCGGTTTTCGCTGTAGGGTCTTCGTTGCTAAGATCGCGCCATTTCTTTGAAAAATCCAGTCCGAGTTGAATCAAGAGAAACCCTATATCTTTCCCTAGAAGCATCCGATCGTAATGATTTTTACACCATTCGAAAGCTCTTGAAAAATTGAGTCGAAATAGTCAGCGCCAAATTCGGCCTGGCGGCCGAGAAATCGGCATTACAGAGGACACACCCACTTTGTCTATAGGATATGGTGCTCGCCGCCGCAAAATTCACGGATGTGCCGACAATTTTTTAATGATTTTGGAGATGGATTGCTTATATCGTGAAGTTTAGAGCCCATTGAACAGAGCAAATTATGTAAAGTGAAGATTTCGACGAAAATTCTGTATTTTTTACGTTATTTTTTAGTCAAAATCTTCAGTTTTTGGGGACTAGAACAAGTAAAAACCGTTTAAAAACATAATTTTATAAAACGAGAAACTATAAAGAAAGACTACGGACTGTGCATGGAATATTCGGCCTAAAACCCATTGGGGCAGTGGATCAACGCTGCTAACTGGCCCTACAGTCGTTATCTGGATGGTGTCAACCCGGCTCATGGAATAACCACATCGCGTCCGCATCGCAAGAAAACTGGAAACGCCCGCTCTGCCTTTTAAAAACGAATATTTTATTCCCTCAAAACTTCCATTTTTTTAATAAAAATCACAAGCGATGGGAAGCCACAATCCAACTAGGGGCGCCAGCAGAAGAGAACGAGAATTTCATATAGTTAGTTTTTAAAAAGACAATACTTTTTGCGAAAAGGTAGACCAGTATACTAGTATGGTCAGAAAATGAGGAAACGCAACTCTAAGTCAATAACGTTTGTTCGCAAGATCAAAAAGCGAAAAAGTAAAAATAGCAGATACAGCGGAGTGCATGGAAAAGCGAGAAAAGACGAGGATCAAAAGCAGTTGTCATGCCCAAGCAATAAATAAATATATATTTAAAAGCGAGAAAGACAAGGGCACTTTGTTTGGTTGTGATATTTCGTAGTCGTAGATAACCGATGCATTGAACCGTAGTCGCAGCAGTGAATTGAGGAAGGGCGGGCTAGAGCCGAGCAGATACCCGTGGGCTTCTTCGCTAATAAATAAAAATTGAACGCCATGTTGGAGGGAAAGCTGGAATAAAAATCGGTAATATTATAAATCGTGTTTTTCTTCTTGTTCAGATTCAGAAATTCTGAATAAAAACGCAGTGCTTTTTGTTTTTGAGTAATAGTTCAATTTTAGCTACATACCAAGCCAAGTTTATCCAAAAACCGTAAAAACATTTCAAAAATGAAAGACTTTGCTCAAAAACTACCGTTTTAGGCAGAAAAACCCCCTATTTTCATGTTTAATAGATAAATAATAAAAGTAACTTACCATTTAACGGAGCGTCGACGTATTCGGACTGAACGGCTCGGCGTTGTTGGCGCTTCTTGGCGCGCAGCGAGAGGCGTTGCTGAGGGTTGTTAGAAATGGGAGAACCAGCTGTCCGGGGCTCTTGCTCGCTGTGCCTCGGACGGACAATTTCTGCAACCTAAAAACGCTTTTATTCGGCATCAAGCCCTCTATATTATCGCATATTTCAGAAGCAGTCGGCTGTGAGATCCAAAATTGACAGAGCAAATCATGTTAAGTGAAGATTTCGACGAAAAACAGTTATTTATATTCGAAAAATACCCCCCTTCTCCTGGCCCCCCGATAATGCCAAAGAACCCCAGAAGCATCAAAACAGATAGATACTTGTACGGACACTGAAAGCAAGAGTTGTTCATCTGGTCCTGTTGCCTTTTGGGGTCACCCGAAGCTCCGCCCCTTTTCGGTTCAATTACCCAAGTTTGAGGGTAGATCCCGGATGACACAATGAAATGATGATTATTCTTCTTGTTTTCGCGTGAAATTAGCATCTTACTTAATCCTAAACGATTCCCGATAGCAGCAATTGATTTATAATTATTATTAATACATTGTCCTTAAATTAAAATTATTTAAAATTATACTTTTTCATCCATGAAAAACTTTGATAAAAGCTCTTCGAATAGGCCGATTTCCATAATTTTTGAACTATTATATTCAGTCTCAAATCCCCTGTCTTATGGCGTATATTTAGAACGGGTAGGATGTAACATCCCGAATTTTACCAGCTAAAATATCGGCGACGGCCATAAATAAATAAAATAAAAATGCTAGCATACTAACACTCTTAATATCAATATCAAATCATAATTAAAAACCCGGAAACTCACAATCCAAAATGTGCTCAAATTTTCGGCATGAACCCGCTTTCCCATTTCCAGATAATTATTACGGCCTACAATCGACAATATTAGTTGGCCCCACTGTGGGTCGACCCTTATGTTTTTGGGGTGGGCCAGGTCGGGGGGCGTGTCGGGGGCGCGGACCGAACATTTCCCTTTTCTCGCTTTTTCGCCTAAAAATAGCGTTATTTCTCGACTACAAAATACATCATTCGATGCAGAATTGTTTGGCGCATCTTTTGAGACCATTTTCAGCACGCTAACATTTTATTTCAGATAGAAATCCTTGAAAAACTCTTTGCTGAACGCGATTCAGGCATGTTCTCCGCTTTTTCGTGCTTGGTAATGCATTAGATAACCATTTAAAGAGGTAAGGACAGCATAAGCCAATCGGTTGCAAACCTAAGCCTAAGTCAGCCTAAGCTTAAGCCTAAGCTTTGGTCTATTCCTCAGCCTAAACCGACATCTCATTAATTCTAAGCCTAAGCTAGGCTCGATTCGTGTTGACGACCTATTTGTTGTTGACGTAATCGTCGTAGAAGAAGGGTACACCGGTACTAAAAACAAATTTTATAAATATTTGTGTCCATATTGAGGTTGAAAACACGACGAAAACAATCGAAATGAATATAAATACGATGCTCTCACAACAAGCTGGCAGATTCAGCTTCCCTCGCAATCGCCTGTCAGCAGCTTCCCACTCTCAGATGCTTACTTCGATTTTTGGTTCTTTTGCATTATCGGGGGGACCAATTTTTTCGAGGATTCCATTTTTCTAATATAAATTAAATATTCAAAGTGTCGCTAAACTCTAAACCCGAAATTTTGATTTGAAAAATAGGTTTTTCCTCCAAAATTGCAACATCAAAGCAATTTCTAGGGTTTTTTTGTTATAGAAGCCTAAGCCAAATCTTAATAAGCCTAAACCAAGCCTAATCTAGGCCTCAGACTAAACCTAAACCAAGCCTATTTCCCACCAAAATCGCAAAATCAAAGAAATTTCTAGGGTTTTTTTTGTTATCGAAGCCTAAACCAAGCCTAATCTAAGCCTGAGACGAAGCCAAGTTAGCCTAAGCCTAAGCCGAACCTAAACCCTAAGCCAAGCCTAATCTAAGCCTAAGCCTAGGCGCAAGACTAAGCCGAAGAACTCCTAAACTAAGGGTTCCCGTGTTGAGGGGAGAGGGGCGATACATACAGCAGATGATCTCTGTCTGTCTCTGACAGCAGCTTCTCAATTTCAGATTTCAATTGTTGGTTCTTCTGCATTATCGGGGGGGGGAACCAATTTTTTTCCGAGAATTTCATTGTTCTAAGTGCTTCTAGGCTCTTTTTTACTCGACCTAAACGTAACATTTAGAATTTTGATTGCGAAATATAAAAAAAACGCAAATTTTTTTACCAAAAGCGCAATAACAAAAAAATTTTTAGGGTTTTATGTTATATTTTCATTTCAAATATAGTTAAATTTACTGAAGCACTATTGAGGCATTTAATATTACGTTACTAAGAATTTGTGAGCTTATAGGCTACCGCTATTGCCTCAAAAATCGTTATTTTTGCCGCCTTTTTGCCGAGCGTATTGGGAAGACGCTGGCATGTTATTCTCATCCACTCATACAGTCGGTATTTCGCAAGATGTTTGTCGGCCGGAGAAACGCGCGATCCAAGAGCCCGACGGAATATCGAATGAACCTAGCGCCCCCCCCAACTGAATACCGATCAACCGGAAGGCTCAACTGAATACGGATCAAACGGAATTTCCGACCATAACAGCCCTCCAAACAGCGACACTGAATATAGATCAAGCCGCTCGCCGGCCATATTTATATAAAGCGGCTAGTCCAAAACTTCACTTTACCCCTCTACGCCTAAGCCGAACCCTAAGCCACCCAATCTAAATCTAATCCTAAGCCTAAACCTAAGTCCAAGCCACAGCCTAAGCCTAAGCAATCTGATGCCTAAGACTAAGCCAAGCAAGCCTAAGCCTAACCTAAGCCCAAGCTTAAGGCGAAGCTTAAGCCGAAGCCTGAGTCTAAGCCTACGCCAAGCCTAATCCATGCTGAATCTAAGCCCAAGCCTAAGCCTAAACCTGAGCCGAAGACTAAGCCGAAGCCTGATAATAAGCCTAAACCTAAGCGAAACCTAAGCCTGAGCTGAGCCTAAGCTTAAGCGTAAGACTAAGCCAGACCTAATATAAGCCGAAGCGGAAGACGAAGTCTAAGCCTAAGCTTAAGCTCAACACCCTTTCCTTCTAATCCCCGGAACGTCCTAAAACTTTCAATAGTAGTCACATTTTAAATAGAAAACTTGTTTAAACCGTTAGAAAATGTTTGTGAAATTCAAAATTTTAGATCATTTGAGGTCCAAAAAGTCCGTTTAATTTAACCTAAATCCTGACCTAAAACCTAAAATCGAATTTTTAAATAATATTTCTAAGGTTTTTAGGTTCAGGGATGATTAAACGTAATGTAAAAAAAACCGTTATCTATTGATCGAAAAATCTGGGCTTTTACCAAAACACATGTGCTATTTCCGTCGAAATAGCTGATTTATTGGGGTTGAAAAATCGATATTTTGTCTTTTTGATGAAAATGTAAACTTTTTCATCTCTATTATTACAATAAAGCTTTCTTAGCATAATGTGTTGATGATTATTTTATAGCAAATCCGCTTCAACGTCGACAACAACAGCAACAACAACAACATCAACAACATCTTCAACATGGCCGACCAGCACCAGGACGTAAGTTCAATTCTTACATTTATATATTAAAACCTTTTTTTAGAACGAGCGCAGGGTTTCGATGCGAGAGCAATTCAGACTGCAAGTAGGCTTTTCAATTTTTTTGGTTCTTTGGCACTAGCGGGGGGGACCTCTTTTCGGTTAGCCTTTACTTTGCCCCCAACGGGAAACTCCCAAAAATATTCAAGAATTCCAGCCATTTTTTGTGGTTTTCGCTAAGCCATACGATAGAGCATCAAAGAATATAAGAAAATTTTTAATTACAGCCCAAATAAATGTAAGATAAAAAAGTTATAGCGAAAAACATTTTGGGACCTGCGGCTGGGGGAGGATAAAGTAAAGTAGTCCAGATATGCCTAGTGACGTAGTAACTATATCTTTATCACAATTGCCCCCCCCCCGCTAATGCAAAAGAACCAGATTTATACCCAAGCTGTCTCTTTAAACTAATTTGCTTTTTCCAGGAACAGCTCGAGGAGGCCAAGGAAAAGCTCGAGAAGCAGGTTTGCCTTATTTTACCTTATGTTTAAGAATATTGTTTTTTTTGTCTGTTGTCTGTCTGTCTGGCTGTCTGTCTCTCTGTTTGTCTGTCTGTCTGTCTGTCTGTCTGTCTGTCTCTGTATGTCTGTCTGTCTCTCTGTCCGTCTGTCTTCCTTCGTTTCTGTCTGTCTGTCTGTCTGTCTCTCTGTCATTAGATGCAAATGTCCCCCAGACGGCCACATGTCCATCAGATTTGCGAAAAATTGCGATTTTCGATACTAGGTTAACTTTTTCTGAAATTTTGTTAGTTCTTATTGTTTGCTGTCTGTTAGGAAACAATTAGGCTTTTCCGGAAGTGGGCGGAAGCGAGCTTTTCCTATTTCCCATCATTTCTTTTATGGTGGCTTGGGGCGCTTTTGCAATACCGGGGGGGGGGGGGTTAAGTCCAGAAATGCTTCGTAACCTGATATAATTTAATACAATAATCATAGTAAGCAGCTAAATACAATGAAGCAAAACTTCGGCAAAACTTTTAAACCAAGTAAGATCTAAAAGATAACATTTTAAAAGTATTGTTCAAGTCAAAGTTTCAAATTGTTCAATTAAGCAAAAACCAGGGTTGAAAAGCCGCTTCGCGTCTTTTCGACCCTGGCCCCCGTCTAGCGTCATAATATGCTTCATTTTGCATAATTCTCGCGAATTCCGATGACAAAAAAATGAAAATCTCTCCCTCCGCCCATTATATAGGCTCGCACCATTTCCGGCATATGCTAATTGATTCCTAACAAAGTGGGTACTCCATTTTCTAACAAAAACTTAATTTTAACGTCGAAAATAGCATAATTTGCAAAATCTGATGTGTGTGCAGTCATCTCAGTGCCAGCACGCACCTAATGACGTATCATACGTTGCTTAAAACCCTTTCCCTCTCGAGATATCCTCCGGACACCCTGACGGAAGTTGCATGCAAAGTGGCACACACACACAAACACACAGACACTATTTTTTTATATATAGTAGGATCTGAAACATTACCGAAATCCCGGTTTTACGATATTCAAAAAGACCAAAATGACAAGATTGATTGTCCACCAGCCCTGGCGTATAAATAGTGTAAATTGCAAAATGAAAGCACTAGAAATGGGGGGAGGAAGTCGATATATATAAATAACAAATATCACAGAACCTGCATAGAGGGGGAGACACGTAACGGGAGGAGAGAGAGGGAGAGATGAGAGGAATAGAGAAATCCACAGAAATGTTCAAATCAGAAATCCCTAGTCTTCTTTTTGGGAAGAGACCGTTCTAACTAACACAACATTTTTTCACAACGATCCTTCAATTGCAGTATGGTTTTGTAAAGCTTTTTTTGGGGAGTGAAAAGCTGTAGTTGTACTTCGTAGTCTGGGTGTAGATTTAGAGCTCATCCTTCTCGTCGCCTCCATCGAAACCTTGTTCACCACCAGCACCTTCACCACCGGCTCCCTGAAAATTGAAGGATGGGTTTTTATAGAAAAAGAGAATAATATTTTCATCTGTAAATCAGGGTACTGGTTTGTTAGCGGGGGTGCGGATCTTTAGAAATTGGTATTTTTTGAAGCTTTTCATCGCGATTCGATGGAGCGCCAAAAATATGCATCCGATTATATCTAATTCAGTTATAGTAAAAAAGACTAAACTTTAACCCCCCCGCTAACGAACTAGAACCAAAATACGCGATTTTTCCTCTTTTGTTTCAGCGCGATTTTATAGAGCATTAAAAATTATACTAAACTTTTTAATTAGAGCTGAAAATATTATACTGTATGAAAGTTGGAGTAAAAGATATTGGCTCGAAAGCCCTCCCCCCCGTTAACGACCCAGTACCGAAAATGGCCCTTCAAAACCCCCAACTCCTCACCTGGTACAGCTTGGAGACGATCGGCTGCACCTTGCCCTCAAGCTCCTGCTTGTGCTCCTTCAATTCCTCCACAGTAGCCTCCTTATTGGCATCAAGCCAAGAAATGGCCTCATCAACAGCCTCCTCAATCGTCTTCTTGTCATCCTCCTCCAGCTTCCCTCCCAGCTTCTCCTTGTCGTTGATCTGCGTCTTCAGGGAGTAAGCATATGACTCGAGCTCATTTCTCGCTTCAACAAGCTCCTTCACTTTCTTGTCATCCTCCGCAAACTTCTCAGCATCATTGATCATTCTCTCGATATCTTCAGGAGACAATCGATTGGCATCATTGGTAATCGTGATCTTATTCTTGTTGCCAGTTCCCTTATCTTCAGCTCCAACATGAAGAATTCCATTGACATCAATCTCAAAAGTTACTTCAATTTGAGGGACACCACGAGGAGCTGGAGGAATTCCAGTGAGGTCGAACTTGCCGAGCTCGTGGTTATCCTTTGTCATTGGTCGTTCTCCTTCAAATACTCGAATGGTAACTGTTGGTTGATTATCAGCAGCCGTGGAGAAAACTTGAGATTTCTTTGTTGGAATGACAGTATTGCGGGGGATAAGCTTTGTCATCACTCCTCCAACAGTCTCAATTCCCATTGTCAATGGATTGACATCAAGGAGGACAATATCTCCAGTATTTTCTTCTCCAGAAATAACTCCAGCCTGTACAGCAGCACCATATGCCACAGCTTCATCAGGGTTAATACCACGAGATGGCTCCTTTCCATTGAAGAATTCTTTGATCAACTGTTGAACCTTTGGAATACGAGTCGATCCTCCGACCAACACAATCTCGTGCACTTCCTCCTTCTTCAGGTCAGAATCTTCCAAAACCTTTTGAACCGGCTTGAGCGTGGCGCGGAAGAGGTCCATGTTCAACTCCTCGAACTTGGCGCGGGTCAAAGTTTCGGAGAAATCTTCTCCATCCAGCATTGATTCGACCTCAACCTTGACTTGATGTTGAGTAGAAAGCGCCCTCTTCGCCTTTTCGCATTCACGACGCAGTTTCTGCACGGCACGCGCGTCTTTCCGGATGTCTTTTCCGGTCTTTTTCTTGTACAGCTTGATGAAGTATTCCATAACGCGTTGATCAAAGTCTTCTCCTCCCAAGTGGGTATCTCCGTTTGTGGCGAGCACCTGTAAACAAAGACATTAGATTTTCTAAATTTGGCTAGCCGCTTGACCTCCAGAGAGCCAGATGAAAATTCGATATTATTGTGACTGTAGGTGTTTTTACATTATCCGGGGCGGGGCAACTGTTTCCTAATCAATTTCTAGACGTAAAAAGCTTCCAAAATCGATAAAAATACAAGAATGTCGATTTGTTCGAGCCATCAAATTTTCCATAATTTTTAGATACTTTTTGCACTTGAAATTCTTGAATTTGCTAAAACAATATAAAATTCTAGTATGTCATTAATGCCCCCCCCGATAATGCAAAAGCACCCTACTGTAAATAACGCTATTTGCTATCATAATGTCGAAATTTCGAAGCTTCAATACGTTGATATTTTTGCAGCGCAATTTGGGTTTTTAAGGGAAATTTGCTGGTATAAATTTCGAAATTCTGGAATTTCGACATTATGATTTTCTGGAATTTTGCAAGTATTTTTAAATCATATAATTTTTCAAAAAAATTGTAAATTGAATTCATGCCCACCTCAAATACTCCATTGTCAATGGTGAGCATCGACACGTCGAAGGTACCACCTCCAAGATCGAATACGAGAATGTTGCGCTCTCCGTCCTTCTTGTCCAATCCGTAGGCAATTGCGGCAGCCGTCGGCTCATTAATGATACGGACGACGTTCAATCCGGCGATCACCCCGGCGTCCTTTGTGGCTTGACGTTGAGCATCGTTGAAATAGGCGGGCACAGTCACGACGGCGTGCTTCACTTCCTTGCCTGAAAAACGTTAATTTAGTTTTGGTTTTCTATCTCGTTCTCCAAAAACTGGAGTTTTACCTCGTAAAATCAGCAATTTGAATGCTATTTTCCAATTTTTTGGTCGGAAAATCGGGTATCAAAATGCTTAATGATACAAAAAACTCGGCTAGTTTTCTCGCGGTTTTAAGAGCTTTCGATAGCTCCCTAAATCGCCAAAATCCGCCCTTTCTCCGGCCCGCTAGGACGGAATCCCTTTTTCCGACCCCCTATACTTTTAAATACGCAACAGACACCCTTATCTTATCACTAAACCCTCTCTTTGTTTAGCGAACACCCCCAAAAGACCTCTAGAACCCAAAAGGAATACTCACCCAAGTACGACTCGGCAATCTCCTTCATCTTGACGAGCACCATAGCCGAGATCTCCTCCGGGGTGAACTGCTTGTCCTCCTTGCCAACCTTGACTTGCACGGACGGCTTGTTGCTCTTGTCGAGAACCTTGAACGGCCACAGCTTGATGTCATCCTGGACCGTTTTGTCGTTGTAGTCGCGGCCGACAAGACGCTTCACGTCGAAGATCGTGTTTTCTGGGTTGATCGTCAGCTGGTTCTTAGCGGCATCTCCGATAAGTCGTTCTCCAGATTCTCCAGAGAAAGCGACGTATGAGGGTGTGATACGGTTTCCTTGGTCGTTGGCGATGATTTCGACACGTCCATTTTTGAAGACACCCACGCAAGAGTAAGTCGTTCCCAGATCGATACCGATGATCGTTCCGTATTTGTCCTGAAATAAGCTCATCAAACTATTTCCTAAAATTTGCAATTACGCACTATTTCAATGGATCGCTCTTCACGTAAGAAAAACCCAAAATATTGTGGTATTTTTTAAAATCAAGTTTTTAGAGCGAACTAAATTTGCCTCTAAAGATGAAAATGAAAAAGTAGCATTTATAAAACCATTTTGTAAATCCACAATTTCGCAATTTTGTTGAAAAGCCATAGTTTGCCGTTTTAAATTCGAAAATCAAGAAAAACTATTTTTTTATCAACTAAATTCGTGCAGAAATAAAAATTGAAAATTTCTAATTCGCTATTTTTTTAAAGCTTGATTTTACTTGTTCAGGTTCGAAAATATTGATGTAGAATTTTAAAAAATGGGAACTGTTTATGAACTACCGTATCCCAAAAATATTTAAAAACTTAGAATTCATAAAGCTAGCCTAGATACCTATTTTTATCTTTATAAAAAGCTAGAAAATCGAATTTTTCTTGCATGAAGAAATTCTATATTTAATCTTTCGAAGTCGACCCACCTTCTTCTCCTCCTCGGCAATTGTGCTGTAGGCAAAGAGGGCGACGAGCCCGAGGGCCAATATCGTCTTCATCTCGTCACTTTAGTGAGACTCGAGTAAGTATCGATTCTGAAAATCAGAAAACGTCAATTGGGATATCCGAATAATTCTCGGAAGGATAAGGGGAAGAAGTATGTGGTGGGTCTGCCGTGGGGCCTATCTGGGGCTTATATATTGGCGGGCGGAGCTAGGAAGAGACGTGCCGGGCGTTGATTGGCTCGCGTGGCCCTTTCAATGCGTTCTATTGGCCCGGGTATGGGCTAGGGGGACGTGTGCTAGTGCCGCGACAAACTACATAGTAACGCTCTGGAAAAGCCTGGAGAAGGGGTGGGGCTTCGAGAGGTTATTCGGTTCTTATGGCTGACGTGGATTTCTGGGGGCAATTTCATTGCGAGGACCACCCACTGATGAAAGCTGTCTGTTTCCGGTTTCGAAATTTCCTGAAAAAATTTGGTTTTTACACAAATTTAACTAAACCATCGCCAATCTATATTTTTCAAATTTTTAGAAACTTTTTAGCATCAAAAACGAGTACAACTTTTCATTGTTTACCATTTACCAATCCAAACCCAAACGTAATCGTATATCTTTACCCCAACCAAGCAGTATATCTCATGTAAACAATTTATTTGTAAACACACGCAAAAAACACCCGTCTTTCTCAATTATCACAAAGCTGCTGTGTGTATCACATAGTATAAATAGCATTAGAATAAGGCAACATCACATACAACTCACAACAAGGTTAATGTTTGTTAGAAATACTTCTTGAACGACCAGCGTTGGGATTCTTTGTTGTCGACACAATCATCGAAGTAGAGATCGCCACCCGATTCGACACCGCCAACATCCAGACAGAGCCCCGAATCGCGGTGCATTATTGGGCCGTCCTAAAAAAGAATATTTGTATTTGTAATTAAGATAATTAAGTTACCTTCTCATGAGCAAATTCGATGGGACGATCATCCAAACAAAATTGGATCAAAGCCTTCCGTTTCTTGATGCCATGTTCTTTCGGGCCGACTTGTAGACAGGTTGCTTCACGTCTGACTTCATCTGCTCGACTGTAGGAAAATGCTTGGGATGATGAGCCGCCGCCTTGACACGAGAACACGCCCAGGATGATCGTGCCCTGAAAACAGTAATTACGCCATGAAATGTCGATTCTTTCGCATTATCGAGGAGGCCCACGTTTTTTGTATAAGTCTAAAAAAAACATAGCAACTTCATAGGGAGTATTTCATTCGTGTCCTTAGGCGAAGATAATCAAATTTCATTAGCAAAACTATCAAAACGGATAAAAATTTTTCAAAAAATCGGATTTTCGTCGAAAACCTTCCATTTTTGATCGAAAAACGCTTAGGAATAGGAAAAATAGTTTAGAAAGGCCTCCGCTACTTTTGTTTGAAAAATTGGATGGTAAAAAGAGATTATTCTTCCGACATCAAATAAGGACTGAAATGCTTTTGACCTTGTTCTCCAGCCTTTGCAACGTATCCAAGCAGAGATCCCCATTTCGGACGTTTCCATAGGCGACGACGTCCTCGTCGGGTACAAATTTCTGCGGGATCACGTTGTCTAGGAACCTAAAAGAAAGATTACTATCAGTATACGCTAATGAAAATACCATTTAAAAGAATGACATTGAAGCCGTTCTCGCAAATCTTTCCTTGACTGGAGATCTCCCACGTCCTGCGTCTAAACGGAATTTTCAATGAAAGAAAGCAACGCTTTATGCTTACCTGAAGACCCATTCGATGTACATAGAATAGACGTTTGTAGTCATCCATCCACACTTCAGCCAGTCGCTTCGAATTTGTGCCATGGACATCTTTATTTCCTAGAAGAAATACCGTTTTTACGTCAACTCGGGCGAACCATTGCGTCCAGTCATATCGTAAGGATGCCCAGAACGGAAGATATGACCAACATGAGAGCACGGATGAATCTCTATCGAGCCGCCACACATCCACACCTAAACCTGGTTTTTTATATTTGATGTCTTTCATACCCGGAATGAAATTTCCAGATTTTCGCCGCCCCACACATCCATTTCCTCATCATACGCTCCGACTTCGAAGAAATATTTGCGATCAACAGCAAATAAGCCGCCGGCCATGGTTGGTGAACTGAAAAGAAAAAGTTTTTAAAAACAGTTGTCTTTACCGAATGATATCCGTTTCAGGATTTTTTCTTCTTTCCACTTCGCTTTTCGGCAAGGGCCCCATGCTATAATGAAGAGACCACCAGAAAGTTCCAATGCCTAAATCGTGCATTAGTTTCTTTTATCAATTCGCAATACCTCCAGCCGAACCGCCCATGTAAGCCATCGTTGTATCCGAAATCGAGTCGATCACCGGGCAAATAACGGCCGTTCGTTCTTCGGCAATTCTAGCCAACAATGGCTCAAGCCTAAACACAATAATCGCAAGTTATTGGATCGTACCAGCCAGAATTTGCCTCGCAATGCGAATCCAGAAAAACGAGCACATCTCCACGCGCCTCGCGAGCACCTCGTACTTTTGCGCGAATCAAGCCGAGACGTTCCTTAACAGCGTTTTTGCAGCATCTAGCAAACTACCTTGCTGCGAACCAACTTCACCAGGGCACCGAAACGTTCAAGATGCTTCTCCAGCTTCTCGCCGAGCTCGGCTATAAAAAAAAATCGACAAAGCTTCCAATCACTTACGCAAATGACTGTTGTCATCAACGAGAACCACTTCTAGCAGCAATTCGGGAGGGCTACGATTGATGACGGAATGCACAGTTCGTAGCAGTGCGGAATAAGACTCGTCCGTGAAGATGATCACTACCTAAAAAAGAAATGACGCGTGAATTTGGTTTTACCGATGTGGAGGGAAGTGAAGAGATGGTATATTCCAGTCTTTTACATTCCTTGCTTCTTGAATCCGGTATCGATCGATCCAACGAAATCGCGTCAGAGGCGAGGATATTCATGAACCACGTCTTTTGAAGCTCTTCTGCTTTTAGCTTATCATCGCCTAAAAATTTTTTGGTAGTAATGATACGGTTTTAGACCTTGCAAGTGAACGCCATCGCCGTTCTCGCCAGCACCTTCTCGATGCTTTGAATAGTCGGGAATCTCATGGAATCCCTAAAAAAGTAAATTACAACGATTTAAAACTAATACCCGATCAACAATGTCCCTCGAGAATCGTGTCCGGCCTCCCGAGCGAGAATTGGACGCAAGAGCACTAAATAAATAATATATGGTTTTTCTAATAGAATACCTGATAAAGAAATAGCCGGCAACAAGGCAGAAAAGGACCTTTACGAGACGGCTTTTGTTCCGGACTGTGAAGAGGCCCCTTACCCACCGCATCTGAAAAAATGATGTTAAAGCGAAAAGGTTAAAACTGTTGTTGAAAGTGGAGAAGGAAGGAAGTAAGGCGAGGAAGATGGTGGTTTCTCATGTCCTACGCGGGTCACCCGTTCTCTCTCTAGGGAACAATAGAATGGAGTGTGGCCGAATTGCAGTCGAAAGGTGAGTAGTGCAACCCACGTTTCGCCCCTATGAAGTGTTTCTCAGAAACACTAGCGTCAGTATAGCAGAAAAAGTTAGAAACCCAACAAATATAGCTACAAACGTACCAGAAAAGTGCCAGAACTTAACTATGGGCGCAAATTCTTTGACAAATCAAAAAGAAAACAAAAAGCAGCGGAAATAACGGATAAAATTTAACGATGCCCTATATAAAGTGATTCCCAAGCGATAGGAGAAGTGCTTCCGATGAATTTTCCTACAAGCGCATCAAAAGAGGAGCCAGGAAATGTGTGGCAGCGTGTGGATTTCGATCCGAGGTTGCCACATCGCGGCCTATGCATACATTGCGTGTGGAACAGATCGTCAACTACTCATCAATAGACTAGCAATATCGAAGAAGTCGAGCAACCCCAAAAAAGGGGAATCGATACGTTTCCGGCCTCCAAAGAAAGTTTTTCAATTTCAAGCAGCGGGTCAGAGAGGGGCAAAGAAACGCGCGAATAAAGGGAATCTATTGGAGATAAGAATGAGGTCTAATAAAACTCCTCACACCATACAGCTAAACAACCATGGCCATGGCGAAGGCCGGCTACGGCATAATTCAAATGACGTAGCGTCGTAACGAGTATCATAACGTACCACCTCGTTTGCCAAAAATTTAGCATATAATAAATTCTCAGCAAAATAAAAGTTTTAACGTTTAATTTGGATTTTATCGTTTTCAGCGTACTTTTTTACCCAGGTCCCGAAATTTTGGTGTTTCCTGGATGAATTTCACCAAAATTTGCTTTTATCTCGAGAATCTGACGTCATGGGTAATAAACTAGCTCATTTTCAGAATCAGCACAAAAAAAATCGGCTGTTTTGGATACCCTAGCAGTCCCGGATGTGGCAAAACATCGCTTAAATCCCCAAGGTTTGTCATTTCGGGATGGCTTTTCAGTGCATGATGGGTCGATCCAGGCCGTACCCTTGACCTTGCAGTCCCCATCGGCTCTCTATTCCTCTCATAAGATGCATAGAGACCCTAGATTCTACCAACTGGTCATTCTCAAACGCGAATAAAGAACGCCGGAAGGATTCGTGAAAAGCTGTAACGAATTCGTGAAATCGTTTCAGCGAATGGTGTTAATGCAGTTGGGGGGGCAGTCCAAAATCGGTAGCAAGGGGTTACGAGGCGCTCCGCTTAAAGGGATAGGGGCGGCATAAGTCAATCGATTACACGCGGGAAAGAAAATGTCTCTGCGCCTCTCCCCTAGGCGCCCTCTCTCGCCGCTGCATCTGTTGAACCCCCCTCCCCAAAGGGGGGTTCAACAGATGCCGTCCTCATCTCTTTAAGCTGCTTGGTTTTCAGCTTAAGCCTAGGCTTAACTTAGCTTTAACTAAGCCTAGCTTACCTTGAGCTTCAAATTGACTTACGAGGTTATGTATGGGTTAGCTTAAAATTAAGTTTAGCTTGGCTCAAGCTAAGCTCAGGCTTCGTTTGTATGAAGCTAAGCCTAGGCTTAGGCTTAGCTTTGCTTTCCAGAAGCTTCGAGTTTAAAAAACGGCATTTAGAACGTCACGTAGACAAAATCCAGACTCGCCCCCCAAGTATTCGCACCCAGCGAATGAGGATCAACGCGGTAAATGGATAAGCGAATGAGCGGTAAAAACGAATGCTTGATAGGAGAGTAGCTAATTTATCCAAACAGCGAATTTGGGGAAGTATTGCCGAAAACCATCCTAAAACAAGGGTACTTTTCAAATAGGCGGGGGGGGGACGATTTAGGCGGGGGGCAATCTGCATCTCTGCGCCCGCCGTACTCTCAAGGCACCCCCTCTGCCTATAGGCCCACTTCCCCCCCCGGCTATTTGAATTGTACCAAAACAAGAAAATCTATGCATAAAAGCTATAAAAAACTTATTTATTTGCCATTGTTTAGTTTTACACTAAAAAAATGCCGCAAAAAGCTTGAGCAACCCGAACTTTGTGAGCCTTTTCCTATTCAGCTGTCGGTAGTCTTGCTGCGGAATGCCGTACTACGTAGAGAAGTTTTTTTTAGTTTTCAAAGTTTGGGATAATGCATATTACTTCCGCCCCATTCCCATTAGTGTTGGGAAATTTGCTCGGCTCGAAAACCGATTTCCGTGCAGACAAACAAACGTAGACCCCCCTCGAAACGCAATTTAAATCGGCTGTTAAAATTCGAAATTTCACTTTTTTTAATTTTTAAAAGCTTATGGTATGCAAAAAGTGTCGCCGGTATCGATGTATTCAGTTTGGCGATCCGATGCTTTGTTCTTTTTTTAATCCGGAAAAGGACCCCAAAAGAGTCGTATGGTGGGGTACCTCAAACCGATTACTATATTTACATATATTTACTACTCTTCTGTTGCTAGCGTTTTTACTTTACTTTACTATTTAATGGATAAAAAAGCTATAATTTAAAATTCAATGGAATGGAAACATCGTGGCTCCGCCGGTGACAGCTTCGAACCGTTATTCTCTACCTATTTCCGAAACTTGCCGATTAATCAGGGGTTAAAATAATATAGAATATTATTTTTACGGTCATACGTAAGCTATCAATTTGGTATGCCTACACGTACTATATGGATTTTCTCAAAGATTAAATGGATGATTTGGTGAATAAAATTTAATTTCGTTTGCGCAAAGTTTTTGCTTAAATTCCGCTACCCATGTTTAATCCATTTTACATAAAATCAATTTTTGCAACATTATGTCGATCGATTATCTGGGATTCAAAGTCATCCATTAATGACTCGAATGCTTATGATTGCCCGGGGGCAATTCCCGCTGACCTGGCAGACGGCACTCTATGGTTGCAGATCCCAAAAATAAAATAACGATTTCAAAACTAAAAAGTGTCTGCCGCCGCCTAATTTTCGATTCTAAACCCGTTTCTGACCTTTATTTACACGTTCCATTCCATAAAACCATTTTTTGGGCGACAACCATAAACCCTAAATTTCCCGATGATCGTTCATCTATCCGAAGACGCGGCCTTCATCGATCAGGAAACTTTTCATCCCAATGAAACAATCCGTGCTCAAAAAAAAAATGAGCAGTCCCCGCTTCCAACATCAATGGTCAAACGATACACCCTCCTACGCGCGGATCTCCCACTGCAACTTCTCAACGATAAGACGTTTTTGTAATTGTCCAGATCTCGCCCTTTTGCTCGCCGCCTCGAAGTCGATCACGGAAATTAATTCCAAGCCGCCCCTCTTATATTCTCGTCTGATAGCGCTTGCATTCCTTAGTTTAATATCTCGGTAGCTAAAATCACTGAAAATTCTGGGTTTGAAATTTTTAACCGGAAGTACACTAAAAAGTTGCGCCAGTCGTTTTTTTTTGGGGGAGGGGAGGGGTTGCCTAGTATTTCCAAGCGATTTTGGGGCTCGGCAAAAGGGGTTGCACGCATTGTAGTTTGTGTGCCTTGACCGCATGGCCTTACGCCATCCAATCCTTTCCGATTTCACTTTTTCGTCTTCTTTTTTTCCTGCCTTGCTTCTATTTGCCCATATTTTCTTCAAATTTAATTTTCAGATTTCAGGCATGAATCCGAATAGGGCCAAAGAAACCCACGATTTCAACAAGTACGTGGCCGAAAGCCTTCCGCCGACCCGCGTTTTCCTTGAAGTATGAATTTTGTTTGTTAATTATTCTTTTTATTAGCAACGCCTTCCGTCAGCGGATTTGGGTCCAGCTGCTCCGATGTCTCACCATGACGTGTTCCATTCCACGGGTAGTGTTATCTTCCTCGACGTTAATCCAAATTTAGGGCACGAGTATTGCACATACTCGGACATCACACGCACTCAACACGCTGAGCGAAAGCGCCCCGGCACCATCGTGGAGCCGCCGCCCCCCAAACGTTTCTTGGGCAACAATGGGCCGTTTGATGGTTTGCAAGACGATAAGGCTCGGGGAAACTCACAGCTAACGGTAACTATTTTGTATGGACTCTCAAATTTCTTAGATCTCCCAGAGCATTGCTGGTCCAAGCGGTTCGTCTGGTATTCTCAAGACCTTCCGCCGCATCAACAAAACCGCGCCGGTAGGTGATGAAATGTTGCTGACTACATTTTTTAGAGTCCGGACTCTTCAACGACCACTCGCGCCCACATCGACGGAATTCTTCGGGAGGCCGATGAACATGTTAGTGCCCGTACAAAGCGTCAGACCAAGCACTTGCCACGTGAACACTGGCCCATCCCCCACTAAATTTGTTGTTTCCCCCACTTGTTTTTTCTCTTACATCTAGCTTTTATTTGTTGGTGAATTAAATTCTTGTCTGTCTCGTCCTGGTACATGTTTGATCGTCAGAGATTGCCGCGGCATGCGTGGTTCCAACGTCTCCATTTCAGGATGAGAACCTGGCTCATGTTGAGACCTACTACGAATATCGGCCGTCGAAGCTAAAAGCGGGCCTTTCTCATCCAGACAGTGTCGTCGAGACTGCTACTCTGAGCAGTGTATCGCCACCTAACATCGCGTATATCCATCAGATCCCCGATTCGGTCGGTCTTCTTTCGAGTTTCCTGAAATTTTGCAAAACCTGCGAAGTTATATTGATCGTTGAATTCTATAGGTGATTGACAATGGGCTTATTTCGTCGCTACAGCTCGAATCCATGATCTATGCTTGCCAAAGCCATGAAACTAAATTGCCAAATGGCGAGCGTGCCGGATATTTGATAGGTACGCAATTTCCCTTTCCCGAAAATCTCTTCCCCGACTTTCCCGAAAATGTCTTTGTTAGGTGACGGTGCCGGTGTTGGAAAAGGGCGAACGATTGCGGCAATGATCATGGAGAATTATCGAAATGGGCGCAAACGCTCAATTTGGCTTTCCGTCAGCAATGATCTGCGTTTTGACTCGTCACGTGACTTGCAAGATATCGGCGCTCGAAAAATCCAGGTTTGTGCCAAATCTCAGAGCAAAATCTAAATATTTGAAGGCAAAAATTGGAATTTAAAATCGGCTGATTTGATTTGAAACTCAGTGGACGAGTTCAAATCAAATCCCGAGGATTTGGTTATGCTTCCGGTCCTTAATCAAACTGCAGGGAGATGTCGGCATGCAAAACATAAGAAAAGCGATGGTCGAGTGCCGCGAACCGGAAATGACCTGGAAGATTATAGCATCCGCTTAATGAGCTAAAAGTCCACAACAAATTGATTTGATCTGAAGTGCTGAAACCTTAGTCAAATAAAATCGGCAGATTTAATCCGGCGCATGCAAATCAGATTAGAGATTTTCATAATACCTTCACGAATCAGAACCAATGTTTTAGGTTCATCAACTAACCAAACTGAAATATGCTCCGATCAATAGCGCGGAGAATGGCAAGATCAAGAAGGTATCCCTGCGCTGTAAGCTGATAATTTGTTATTAGGGTGTGATATTTGCCACTTATACATCTTTACTTGGCGAATGTCGTACAGGCAACTATCCCGATTACCGCACACGCATGCAACAGCTGATCCGTTGGTTTGGCGAGGTCAGCCATTTATTGAAATCCGCTTTATAAATACCATAGGACTATGATGGTTTAATCGTTTTTGATGAATGTCACAAAGCAAAAAACCTGATCCCGGCTGGCGCTGGCGGGAAGCCGACAAAGACGGGAAAGCTGGTACTAGAGCTGCAAGAATCTCTGCCGAACGCGCGTATTGTCTATGCTTCGGCAACGGGAGCTTCAGGTTACTTTTTCTCTGCTGTATTTATTGCAGTCTAGAGCCTCGAAATATGGCATACATGAGTCGTCTCGGTCTTTGGGGAAAAGGAACAACGTTTCCAAATTTCTTCTCCTTCTTGAATGTTATCGAGAGGCGTGGATTGGGAGCAATGGAGATTGTGGCAATGGAAATGAAGGTGAAGCAAAAGAATCAAAGAATTTGAACTGTAATCAATTAAAAATCGCTAAAAATGAGGTTTTTGGACTGAAATCTTCGTATAATTTTCGACGCTCTACCCGATGTCGTTTTCAAAATAGCAGGATATTCTTTATAAATACAAAAATTTTTTTGCACCCCCGTTATTTGTCCCCCCCCGTTAAGCAACCTATACCGAAAATGTTATCAAACTCGTTTTCTTAGAGTCGCGGTCTCTACCTGGCCAGGCAACTATCGTTCCGAGGTGTTTCCTTCAAAACTATGAGGGTACCACTAACCGAGGAATATGCTAGGGTATTTTAACAGCTTTATAACACAGTATTTATGGTTTCAGCTCTATGATGAATCGGTGAAACTTTGGATGGAAGTTAAGCGACAATTTCAAGTAAATCGGCCATTAATCGAAATATTCATACTCTATATTCTAGATAGCCGCTCAGCAACTTCCAGAAGAACAACGACATAACATGAAGCTGATTTGGGGTCAATTCTGGGCCTGTCATCAACGATTCTTCAAATATCTTTGTATCGCTTTTAAGGTGATTTCGAGATTGCGCCGAAAATGTTTGTATTGTTAGGTGGAAGCATGCGTCCAACTTTGTGATGAAGCGATGGCTGATGGGAAATGTATTGTCATTGGTCTACAATCAACTGGCGATGCTCGTACGAAAGAATTGGTCGAAGACGGCGTTGAGATTACGGAATTCGTCTCGACTGCAAAGTAAAAAGCATCCGCGCTCCTTGCATATTGTTATTTAGGCGTGTTTTGCAAGAATTGATCATACGCTATTTCCCTGATTCCATGGATGGTTCGGAGGATGAGGATCCGCTCAAATATTTTGAGTTTGGGCGCAGACGAAGCAAGAAGAAGACTGCAAAGCTTCCCTGGGATGCTTTGAATGGAAAAACGTAATCAATTAAATCCAAATCAATTCGAGATTTTACCTATTTATTCAGGGCAACAAATGGAAACGGCGCTGTGAAAAAGCCAAATGGTTCTGCAGAGTGTACAGACTCGACTGGTGGAAGTGAATCTGATGCTGAAGCCTCGTCCGACATTTCTGTATCAAGCGCTAATCTTTCCGACTTTACGGATACAGAAGTGAAACATGGTAGAAACTAGGATTTGTTCATTGTAAGCTCATATTCTCTAGATGACGCAAATTGGGAAAAGAAGCTGCAACAAGAGGCTTTATCATCCGGATCTGAGAGAGACGAAACAACTGATCCAGTAGGCTCTTATTCATTAGCTTTTTATAGATACTTTTGAGCTTGAGCCAAGCTATGCTTAGACTTCGTTTGTATGAAGTTAGGCCTAGGCTTCGGCTGAGCTTAGCTTTTCCAGAGCCGTCGAGAAAAAAACGGCATTTGAAGCGGCTTGTAGTTAAAATCCGGGCTGCCCCCCCCAAGTGCATTAGTACCGAATAAAGAGACTATTGTGATTTTTCAGGATGATATGGATTCGATCACCCATGTTGATGCGATCGCCCCATTCCCGGAAGACACTGAATCATCTGACGACGAGGAATATGAAGAAGATTCGTCTGTCTTCTTCAATCCCTTCGAATTCGACTATTGCAACGGTAAACAGTGAAATGAATTAAATTGAAATGAAAACAGTGAAATAAATGAATGAATGAATTAAATTAATTAAGTAATATTAAATTAAATTAAAATATGACCTTCCAACGCCGATTTAGAAATTCCTTACGAAAATCGTCAGCGTCGAAAACAATTGGTACACTCGAAAGTCAGGGACCCGCTAAAAGAACTGAAACGTAGCAGGTACCATCCCCCAAAAAAATTTAAATATTTTTTTTTGTAGGGATAAACGCGAACGGCGTCTTGCGAACAAACGACTAGCCCGCAAGAAGCAAAGGAAACGCCGCGAGCTCGATTCGATGCGAAAAAGGAATGAACTCGCAAAACAAGCAGCAGCGAATCCGAGCGCATCCGAATTTATGAAATCGACTAAACTCTGTGATGATTCTTACTATGATTCTCTTGATGTGAAGGTAGAAATCGGCTTGTTAATGAAGTGTCTACATTCATTTAGAATAAGCTGCTCGCCAAAGTGGAAGAATTGGGAAAGGATCTGCCGGCGAACACCCTCGATCATCTGATCAATCGACTCGGAGGGCCAGATAATGTTGCTGAGGTAAGGACATGGCCAAAACGGTAAAGGTTGCTTAACGGGGGGGGGGGACAAACAACGGGGGTGGAAACAATTTGTGTATTTATAAAGAATTTCCTGCTATTTTGAAAACGCCATCGGTTAGAGCGCCGAAAATTATATTAAGCTTGTTTAATCTCAGTCCAAAAAAACCCATTTTTAACGATTTTTAATTGCTTATTTTTTAGCATAATAAAGTAATAATTTTAAATTGTGGTATTTCCGCTCAAATTAAATCTCTTAGTATAATTGTTGACGCTGTATCCAATGACATGCTTGAATTGGCACGACAGGTCCCTACAGGCAAAAATGGTTTCCACCCCCGTTATTTCTCCCCCCGTTAAGCAAGTTTTACCGCCAAAACTTGCATTTCTGGTTATAGATGACCGGTCGTCGCTATCGCATCATTCAAACAGAGAGCGGAGAAATTACACACCAACGCAGAAATGACAAAACGGATGTGGCGCTCGGTTCGACAGCATTTCCATTTTCTATCTTCTTCTTTAGAATTGATCAATATGGAGGAGAAGGAGAATTTCATGAGCGGACGAAAGAAAGTGGCCATCATCTCGGAAGTGGCTTCTTCCGGAATTTCTCTACAGGTTATACAGTCATTTCCGCGTTGATACGTTTGTTTCTAGGCCGACAAGCGGGCGATTAACCAATTGCCGCGTGTACACATCACCCTCGAATTGCCATGGTCGGCCGATAAGGCTATTCAACAATTCGGTATTTCTTAGAAGATTTCCTACCAATTTTAATATCAGGTCGTACTCATCGTTCGAATCAAGTCGTCGCGCCGGAATATATATTCTTGATTTCGGAATTGGCTGGAGAACAGAGGTTTTGATTTTTATTTCACCATGAGAACGAGAAGCTTCTTAGGTTCGCCTCAACAGTGGCTAAACGTTTGGAGCTGCTCGGCGCCCTCACGCATGGTGATCGCCGTGCCACAGAAACGCGCGATTTAAGCAAGTTCAATCTTGACACGAAATACGGACGGATGGCACTGGATAGTACGTTGAGGTGCGTTTCACAAGTTTGAAACTAAATATCTGCCCGGTAAAGGTTGCTTAACGGGGGGGGGGGGGGGTGAGAAATAACGGGGTGGAAACCATTTGTCCTATAGGGACTTGTCGTGCCAATTCAAGCATGCCATCGGACAGAGCCTCGAAAAATTATACTAAGAGATTTAATTTCACCCCGAAATACCACAATTTAAAATTATTACTTTGTTAAGCTAAAAAGTTTAATCAATTAAAAATGGCTAACAATGAGGTTTTTGGACTGAAATCTTCGTATAATTTTCGACGCTCTATCCGTTGTCGTTTTCAAAATAGCAGGATATTCTTTATATATACAAAAATTGTTTCCACCCCCGTGATTTGCCCCCCCCCCCGTTAAGCAACCTTTACCCTCTGACTTTAGGTCTATTACTGGCGCGCTACGACCTCCATTGCTGCCGGAGCCAGACAATTATACGCCGGGACCTTTCTTTAGAGGTTTTCAAAGTTTTTTGGTCTGTAATTAGTTTCCAATTCAGATATGTGCATCTACCTTGAAAGTGTGGGTGTGCTCGCTCTTTCAAATGGTGTCTACATTGTTGACAAGTAAGGAAGACTCGTTTTTCTTAATATCTTTTTGCAGGGAGGGCCAAAAAATCTCCAAGTTCCTGAATCGAATCCTTGGCCTGCCCGTGTACGCTCAAAGCGCCCTCTTCTCCTATTTCTCGGATATTTTGGAGGAACTTGTGCACAAAGCGAAACAGGATGGAACCTTCGATCTCGGCATCATGGGTTTGTTCAAAATGGCTATTCCGTTCAAAATAAAATCTTTTAGATCTAAGTTCCGGGGATCATGTTCAAAAACAAGACACCCGGACATATGATGGCGTTTATTCGAACGGCAAATTCCACGTTGAGCTGCACAAGCTTTCGGTGGATCGTGGATGCAGCTGGACAGAAGCCATCGAGATTTCCAGCAGCCACAAATTGCCTGAAGTAATTGAAACTTACATCTTGAAATATGATTTACAGGATGGCTTTTACTCAACATCCGAATCAACTCGAGGAACGCCATGCTGTGTCCTCGTCTATACTTTGGCTAGCCGCAGATTAACGGATACCGATAGGTATTAGAAATACTGTGATTTCAACGCTCTCATTTTAGAATCTACGCTGTGACAAGGCCTTCAACGGGTCGATCGACACGTCTAGAAACGCTTGCCGAAATCAAGAAAAAGTATGTCAAAATCGAATTGCCGAAAGCCGAGGAAATGTGGAAGAAGCAATATGATGGTGAGTATGACCTACAAACAACAACCAATAAACCAACAAACAAACATGCATCCGCTTTAGCCTCTGCAAAGCAATGTCAACATCAATTCTTGTTCGGAAGCTGCCGGAATCAAGACGAGAACCACAGCTTCTGCGAATATGGTCGGCGGCTTCGAACATATTTCGTGCTGGCTGGCATGGTTCTCTCGATTTGGCCACTTCTCGAAGAGATCAGCCCACAAACAACACAATCCAACTTGGCGTCGTCTCGAATTCAGGTAGAGAAATAGATCAAGATCAAGCGCGAGATAAATGAGAACATTTAGCATATATTCTTCAGGTTGTCCGTGTATGCACTGATGAGGATCAGAAAATCGTTGGTGTCCTGATTCTGCCGAGCAATGTGCGCAAGCTGATGGCTAAGATTGCTGAATACTCGACAAGCTCCCAGGCAATTGGTAAGTCTTTTTTGAATTACCAGCATATTATTGCTAGACCATCGAAAAGAGAAGAAGCAAAATGGAACGAGCGACACGTCGAGCAACAGCAGCCCCGGAGCGGCCAAAGCCGACGAGCAGCCGGACAATAAGCCGAAAAAGACCGAAACTCCGCCTCCCAAGTAAATTTTATTGTTATTACTTGTTTTACGATGTACATTGCTGTAAATTGAAAAGTTGAAAAGAGCTACATACTAACTGTTGACTAATTGCGTTTTGTTTTCTGCCTTTTGGAAGCAATTAACCCCTTTTCTAACATTTTATCGAGTTTCCTAAAGCTCGAGAGAGCAGTTGTGAAAATATCGTTGATGGTTGTTAGTTTAATACATGCCAAAAACTATTTGTTATTATCCCCCCAGTTGTATAATGCTTTTCCTTCTTTTTTGTTGATTTTTATGAGCGGGTTAAACGCGCAAAAAATATAGTCTTCGCTGCCGGTGCTCCCCCCCCTCCCCCGTTTTTCACTTTGATTATCGTTATGTGCTTCTTTCTAATAAATTGAAGAGTTTTGAGATGACAGCAAACAGCAGAAAGAACAATGCCATTTTCAGGGGCGTCATCATTCTTTAGGGAAATAGGTGCTTGGAGAAGCGGTGGACGACTGCCTTGTGGATTGTTTGTGCGCGGGATTAAGGATTGTGGCGTCGGGCGTCTGCCGCTCGGAAGTGACTGCCATGAAGCGCCCATTCTCACGAGAAGCCGATTTTTAAGAGGCAAATTATAGGATTTTCGTTGTTTATTAAAGCAGCTTGTGAAAAGCTAGTAAGTTCTGAAAGTTTCAAGTCTTTCGAGACGCTATAGAATAAATAAGTCTTTCTTTCAGGCGATGACTATACAATTAGTCACAGCCGCATGCCGGACCTTGACCAGTATCGGAGTGTTCTGTGTTCGGTCATTCCTCCCCTCCCCTTCCAACCTTCCCCCCCGTTCCTTTCAGAGACCTGTATAGGTGTGGGCGGAAGGCCTGTTTTATCGATTGCTCTTGGACCGGTCACCTCAGCCCTGGAATCGACCGGGACCACACCCTAGAATGAGTATTTAGACTAGGTTTTGACTTTCTATTGGTTTTCGCGGGTTTCTGGGGAGTTGGAAACAATCTGAACATGACTCATTGCAATTTTGAGCTGATTTTCGCTTCCAATTTTGACTAAAATTGTTTATTAAAAGCAAGAGGCTTGTATTTTGAGTATATAAATGATTCACTAACCGTAAAATGACCAAAATAAGCTAAATTTGGAGAATAATAGATCTATATTTGCAGATTTTCGCCCAAATCTCGATCCTTTCATGACAGCTGGATCCCTTTTTTGGTGCCAGCTGTGCGCGGTTCGTGCTCTTTGCGCTTTCAAAACACTAAACAAACTGCCGAATTGTTTGAATTAGGATTATATTAGTATTTCGTAGCTTTTAAAAGTTTAATTTTATTTCTATAGGTTATCCTTCAATATGTCTATTTCTTTTTCTGGTTCCGACGTTTCCAGTTATTTTCCTGATCACTTTTTTCTGCTATTTTTCTTTAGTTTTCTCTTCTGTCTACCCAATTTTCAGTGATGGGCTCCACTGAAGAAGCCACGAACCCAGTAGACAACATTGTCGAACGGAAACAATGCATTATAGAGTGAGCACCAACTTCCGCGCCTAAAATAACCACTTTTTCTAGTCGTATCGACGCGATCCAGAAAAAGAAACAAGTATTGCTGGAGAAGCTTAAGATGTTGAAAGAGGTTTGTAAAAAAATAGCTATAAAAGTAGAGGATTTCAGATGGGAAAGCCGGATATGGTGCAATTATGTCTGAGCGCTTACGATACGCTTGACGAGCAGGAAAAATCGTACATGGAATTGTTGGTTGATGTAGTGGTGAGTGGGTTAAAACTGTATATAAGTTTTTTTTAACAGGAAATTCATCAAAATGCGACCGAGGACTTTGCAAAGGAGCCGTTGCCATTGATGGTTGAATCAAAGGACGATGATAATTGTTAGTTTTTAACTTAATAGCTTAATTTTGACTATTTAACTGATTTAACAGTTAGATTTCACCGTTTTCTATTTAAAACACATTACAGTAAACCTGTCGATCGAAGAAATGAAGCAACAAATCGCCGACATTCAACAGAAAACGATCGATGCGGCCATTTATCAACAAAAACTTCAGAAGGAATTAGGGTCCCAGCGCGATAATGTAAGTTTATAACTTTTTATCAAGTGTTTGATGATTTTCAGCAATCCTCATTCAGCCAAATACAAAGCAAGCTGAACAAAGATTCAAAGGAAAATGCGAGATCGGCCTATAAAGATTTGGAATCGATGAAAGTTAGAGGTAACTTTTTTATTTTAGCTTTTAAAACAAGGATTTAGTATTCGGAGAGCGCCAAGAAAACGACAGAAAACAAAAGCAGCTGGAGCGGATGCGGAAGAAGATCTCGGAGAAGGAGGAGAAGGGAGAAGCTGAGGAGAAGCCGGTTGAAGCCGAGGATGGAGACAAATCGGCCGAGGATTTGGTGAAGGAGAGGAGGAAGCACGTCGAGGAATTGGTCAAGGTTCAGAGGGAACAGTGGGTTTTGCAGCCAATTTAAATTTATAACGCGTATCTAGTCAAATTAAGCTTTTTAAACCTCAAACAAATTTCGAAAATTTTTCAAAATCTATTTTTCGATATTTAATGTAGTTTTAAACATATATTTTAGACTCAGGAGGAAACGATTAGTTTTGTAGGTACAAATTTTTGATTGATACCTTTTTCAACCTCTAACTTTTAGCAAAGTTCATTTTTTTGCGAAATTTTGGCGCAACTAATTTTTTTAAATAGTTTTTCTAGTAGTTTTAAACGCAGTTTAAAGTGTTTTTTTATAGTTTTACGCCCAGAAATAGCGCGCATTGCCATTGTCCCCCTGATCGATTGATTAGTGCGTATGTGTGTCCTCCCGTCCTGGTGGTTGTCTGTGGCTTTACACCCGGACATTTGGGCCCGTCATCCGCCTGGTCGTCTCCTCTCTCTTTTCTCGAGCACCGCCGATCCGATTTCATCATCCGATTCCTGCCACGGCTTTTGATCCTCTTTTTATGAGCGGCATCATGTCTGGGGGTGGTCCCGTAGCGGTGACTTTAAAAAGTAAAAATCGCGGATGAAGGTTTAGAAGTCGAAAAGCGTTTTGTTTCGGTTTAGTATTTATAAAATCCGTTGTTACTGCTAGATAGAAAAGCTAAATATAACTCAAACTTTGTTTTAACTGCGTTCATCGTATTTTTTAAGGCGAATTCCTAGAGTCGTTTAGGGGGTAGTCCCGCCACGCTGACTTTTAGAGCCCCTGAACTCCTTGAAATTGAGCTTTAGAGCCATTTTTTGTAAAAAAAAAACGGAAATAGAACGTTCAATACCTATTAAATTTCGATTTAAAACTTTGGAAAACTTTAAAACCCAAAAACACCTATTTCCAGACAAAGCAAAGTGTCGGATCGTCTTCGTTCCGGGCTGGAGGCCCTCGGCGAGCGCCGCAAGCAGATGGAGACCATCCACAATATGCTCGAGCGCATCAAGCAGTTGGATAAGGTTTTGAAAACAAACAAAAAATATTAGCATTATTTTCAGGAAATCAGCGAGGCCCCGAGTACTTCCACGACTGATGTTGGGAGCTTCAATGTGGTAAGTCAAAAAACGGCGATTACGATCATTTTCCCGAAAAATCAAAAAATTTCGCAGCGGACGGATTTGAACTCGGGTGTTGCTGGTGGGAGGCGAGAGCTTTACCAATTTACCAAGTGGAAATTCGCTTATTTTGCTAAAAACATAGATTTTTTGAGATAATTAGTTTTTTTGTACAAACGGGCGCCAGGCGAATAGTTTTTCACGAAAACCTAGATTTTTAGTTGCTGTTTTCAGCAATATTTTTAGGTTTAACAACAAATATGACGTTTGTTTGGTTTGAACAACGAAAAAATCCCGATTTTTCAGGATAAAGATATCGATCCGATGGAACAACTCGAAAATACGTACGCCGATGCTCAAAGCAAGTTAATGTAAGTTTATCTATTTACTATTAAATGCGGTATCACCCCCAAGATTTCCCCCAGGTGCCAAAAAGTGACAAATGGTGACCCCGGCGGGCCCCCCTAAAACTAATTCTTTATCTCGCTGCCGGGGGCCTAGCAGTCTAGCAGAAGGCCCTCGTATTGCAGGAGGGGGGAGGGTGTAAAGTGTGGTTGGATGTGCAGATCGGAAAGGAAAAGAGAGAACTCTGTTGCTGACGGATGGACAGGTGTTCGGCTAGCAAAAAGGGAGGGAGGCAAGCTATATGGTGCCCCCTTGAAAGGCGATCTGCCCCCCAGGAATTGAGCTGATTGACAGAAGACAGAAGGAAAGACAGACAGACAGACAGACCCCGCCTGTTCGGGCGCTCAGCCAGGGTGAGCAGTTGCTCCCCTTGGACGAGCACCATTTCTAGGCCTAGGCGGCACCTATTAACGCGGCTGTTCCGCCCGCGAATCTGCTTGGGTGGTCGTGAGCAATTGGCAAAAGATGAAGCTCGGCGTTCCGGGCGTTTTTGAGGAAAAGCAAAAAGTTTCCGAGGTATGGGGAATCGAACCCGGACCTCGATCTTGGAAATCGAGAGCTTTACCAATATACCAAACAGTCAACCTGGCCTGTAGAGTGGAAGGCCCTTTTGAAGGGTGCGGGAAGTTTGCTGCCACGGCCGGACTAATGCGTTTCAAAAAATCAAAAAATTTAAAAATTAAATTTTTAGGAATCTCTCCTCCATCCGCGAACGCCTTGAACAATATCAACAAAGCATTAAGGATAAACAAAGTAGGTTTTAAAATGAAAGCAACGCTAAAATATGAATATTTTAATCAATGCCGATTTCCAGACGAAAATGCCGAAGAAGCCGAGCAGGCGGCAAAATTCCTCGATTCCCTCTCAATTTCCAACGACGAGCCCCAGGTTGGCCCGGCATGAATTCGTGAATATCCCTGAAAATTTGTCCCAGAAGTTTGATTTCCGTTTTGCTCCTCAATTCACTGTGTCTTTCAAGTGGTGATAATTTGTCCTGTATCTGCGATATGTTTTTTTGATAAACTTTAAAAGGCATGGAGTGAAATGAAATACATTGAAGGAATGAGCGAGTGAAAATTAACAATTTGCGACTAACAATTTTATTTGGAGTTTGTAGTGGTCTAGCATTTTCGTATTCTTCAATCCTACAGTATCCAGGAGAATATATGTTAATTAGCATGAGAGAGCAACGGTTGTGCATCTCTCAGGTTCATTAACGGAACGGAGAAGCCGGGTCCCAGCCCCCGGGGCTAATGGCCGGGTTTGGCGTGTTGTGGTCTCTATCTGTGTCGTTATGGCTTTTGGAAGGTCTCGTAATATTTTCCATAACAATACTGGAATCCAATCTTCAAATTGAATCGTATAGTCCGTATTTTGTACCGAAATATAGCCAATTTCGACCATAATCTCTAGAAAGACGATGAACTCACGTCGGTGGTGCGGAATCTTTTTGAGGACTCTATGGCAAGGTAGGCTGCTTTTAGGGTTTGAATACTGTAAATAGCTTTAAAATACACTTTCTGAGCTTCGTGCCAAAAAGCAAAAAGTTTTGTCACGATCGGGATTCGAACCTTGACCCCGCGTGCGGCAAGCAAGCGCAAAACCAACACACCAGATGGCAACCGGGAATGGAGTTTCGGATCGTGCTTTTGACACACTGGGCCAAATTTCCCCGCTTTTGGTCGATTTTCGATCCGATTTTCGCAATCAAAATACCCAATTTTTGTCGGGCCTATTTTTAATCTTCAAAATTAATTATAAATCGCTAGAAAAAGCCTAATCCGGGCCTTAACGGCTTTCAAAAAGCTTATTACGCGGCTGTCTTTTGCGCATTTAATCCAGTCTCAAGGTACAAGCTACAAACTACAGGTTTCTAAACCACAGAATGCATTTTTTTAACTCCTTAAAACAGCATTTTTCAGTCAGCGCTCCACCGTTAAAGACACGTACGCCAACGAGTTCGCCAAGATCCACCGTACGCTCGCGGAGCACAGCGTAGCCCTGGCCGAGATTCGGCAAAAGGTATGGATTGTATAGGGGGATGAAGAGGAGGGGGGAGGCTTTTTGGAAAATGGGAGAGGAGGGGTGGAGGGGGCGGGGAGAAGCCGTGCACGGCACAAATTGCATTAAGTGGTATTAGAGGCGGCGTGGTGGTGGAGGAGGGGTTGCTCTTCGTCCGTGTGTTTTTGGCCTTATGGTAGTTTTGAAAGATTGTCGATTGGAGTGTCTCGTAGTCAGTTGGTCTGTTAGTCCTTCTAGCTCATTTTCCGTATCTCTAGCTCGCTCTCTCATGTCCTCCCTATCGCTCGCGGTCCTACTCCCTCTCACCCAAGCTCGCGCAAGCTCGCGCAAGCTCGCTCTGTTCTCACTCTCTCTCTCTCTCTCTCTCTCTCTCTCACTATTTCTCGGTCTCGCACTCTCCCTCTCTCTCTCTTCATCTCTCGCTCGCTTTCTCACCCGCTCTTTCTAGCTTTCCCTCGCTGCGGTCGATTAATGCGACTGTATGGCCTTCCCTGCTCTCTCTCTCTCTCGCCCCCACTCTCTCTAGCTTTCTCTCCCGTTCAATCTATTAGTGCGACTATCGGACGTGTATTCGATCACTCTCTCTCTCTCTCTCTCTCTCTCTCTCTCTCGCTCTCTCGCTCTGTCTCTCTCCCCTCATATTCAAAGTAGTCTTCTGATATCCCTCTCCCCCTCTTCTTCCCATCCTCTCCTTGGTAAGGCCCTAATTTGGGGGTAAGGGGTGTTGTAGAGAGGAGCAAGAGAGAGCTCTTCCTCCCCCTTCTCGTCGTCTGCCCTCTCTGTGCTCTAACCCCTCTAAACCCCACCCTCCGTCCCTAAAATGTATATATTCATTGAATGAGCGCCAGTGGGTCTGTCTCTTTTGCAGAAAATGGGGGGAAGAGAATGTAGACGAAGAAGGCGGGGTCCCTTAGCTGGCACACACTACATTATGAATTGAATTGATTCCCCTCTTTTGATGCCTTTTGTCGAGTCTCCTAGTCACTGCTTCCTCTCAGGCTTCTTCTTCGGCTTCTCCCTCTTGGTCGTCGCTGTGGCCCTCAAAAAAGGGGGACAGCCGGGGGCCCCGAATCGAATTCGAACCTTTTCCCGGTTGGTCCTTTTTGGAGGGGCAGAGCAGCAGCCTGAGGCCCCCCCTCACCTCCCCTTCTCAGCTCGTTGCCGAGGAGACGAACGCCGTCCTGGGGTTGGGCAACAACTTCTACGCTTTCTCTTCTGCTAGCTAGTACGTAAAACTAAACAATCCCTGACCTCTACCTACTATTTTAGAAAATTTCTGCTTGAATTCACTATTTTGAGGTGAGTGCCTGAAACTCAACCCCGGAAACTTGCCATAAGCGGAAACACCTTATTTCCGGTTTATAGAGGTCCAGTGGGTGTTAGTATACAAATATAGCAGGTGGGCTAAGGTTTTATGCTTTTTTGGGCTCAAAAATTGACAAAAGAGAGCTTCTTCTTCTTCCCCTCGAATAGGCCCTAATGAACGGGACGGGAGGCGATTTTTGGGCTTTTTCCTCTGATTCTCTATCTACGCGTCTAGTGCTTCCCTCTCTTTCTCTCTCCTCTCTCTCTCTCTCTCTCTCTCTCTCTCTCTCTCTCCATCCCTTAGACTAATATCGGGTTTTGAGGGCAGATATGTCTGATGCTTCTCCTCCTCCCCTTTTCCCCGTCAAACACGCAACTTGCGCAAAATAGCCGGGCGTCTTGAAGGTGGAAATGTCGAGGAGGATATTGATATTTTGGCTAGGGCTGCCGAGGCGAATGGCTCGAATTTTTGATTTCCATGGTTTTCGGGGTTCTATGATTTTTTTATTAGATCCATAAAGTAAAATGGACTTTAAAAATACCTTAGAAATTCATTAGGCCAGTTTTTGGGCAAAAAGCAAAAATTCGGTCGCACGTAGGAGTCGAACCCTGGCCTTGAGATTGGGAGGCAAAAGTGCTATCCAGTAGGCCAAGACTACCGATGTCGGAAGGGAGGGGAAGGGGTAGATGAAGGGTGGGTGGGGTGACCTGAGGGTTAGAGACGAACTAGCGAGATATTTTCGATTTTTTACTAAATTTACGTTTTAAATTTTAATAAGTAAATTTTCGGGGCCCCAGCTGCCAGTAGCATCTAATTAGGGCCCTATCGCTCAATTTCACTAGCATTTTGTGTGTATGGCGATGTGTATGGGGGTGTATGCGGGGTGAAGTGGACGGGGGGATTCGAGCTCGGCCCTGGCTAAGGCCAAGCTATGGCCAAGAGGAGGAAGAGGAGAAGGGGAGGAGGAGGAGGGGCCCAGGCCCGCCCTCCATCGGCATCCGCCCTCCTCCTCTTTTCTCGTTCTCTCTCTCTCATTCTCCTCCCTCCCTTTCCACTCGGCTTCTGGCCCAGCCCTTCCACTTGGCCCTTCCCCCGTCCAGCTCAGTCTAATGCCCTAAGGGCACTACCAGACCCCCCAAATCATTCCACTCGACACCTATCGACCTGCAAGAGATATATTTCTATCCCTATGTATTAGATATTTTGCTATCTATATTTATTTAGCTACTCCAGCCCGAGCCAATCGACTCTCTTTCCGAGACGATCCGCTCTCGTCCTCCCCATGCTCTCAGGGCATTTTCCGCGATACTCCTACGTCTGGCTGACGGGCATCAGGTTCCGAAGCTGGCCAATTATGTAGATTCATTTCTGCGTGGTTCTGAGGAGGTAGGTCGATTTGCTGGCGGGGAGTCTGGAATCTGGCTTGTTAAAAACCTTAAAAAATTTATTTTTAGATTTTAGGCAATTTTTTACAAACCTAGGGCCATGAATTCCGTTTCAATATTATAATTTTAAATTTCTATTGTCTTTCTAAAATTGATGAAGATTTTTAAGGTTTCTATGCATTTCAAGCTTTGCAAATTTCCGTTCCGATACTATAAACGACCTTTTCTATCGTATTTCAAGAAATATTACGTCTATAAGGTATTATCAGTGTTTTAGTAGGTAAATTTGCTTAAATCCCTAGAATCTGCCGTTGAAATACAATACATAAAATACATTTTTTCATATTTTTTTTGAGAAATTGTTTATTTCTAAAGTATTTTTAGGGTATTTCTGCCTATAAAGTACTACAAAAATTAGAATTGAAACCCTACAAAGTTTCCAAAATATTTTCCTAATAAGGATTCCTCCACTTTGTCTAGACTTTTGTCCGATTTCAGCTGTCTAAAAACCCCCCCTAATCCCCCACCAGACCACTCTCTTTTTGTTGTTTACAAAAACGAGCTGTCCCCGATTTTCCAATCTAAAGCCAGATTCCAATCAATCCTATCCACGCACTGGTTTTGTCGTCTTTTATTTTTGTTGGGAGTTTCTAAAAATCATGCGATCTCGCCGGTTAAGTGAATGCTTTGCCACAGTCTTAAAAATGCGGTAAGCTGGGTGAAGGTTCGCTTAAGCCGGAGAGATTGGCTTCTTCTCCACAAATCAGCAAAAAGGGCTTCAGAAAGTACGGTAATCCTGAAAATTTCGAAAAATTCTATTTTTTTAGACTTGAAATCTTGAAAAATTACTCTGAAACCCATTGTCGTTGTAAAACTGTAGTTTTGTGTATTATTTGAAACCTATGCGGCAAATATAGTAATTCAGTGATTTTCTAAAAATTTCCAAAATCCGAAAAATCTCGAAAAATCAATTTTTTAGTTTTCTTCGGATTTCGGGGATTTTTAGGCCAATCCTTTTTTGTAAACTGTAGTTTTGGTCTCATAATCATGATTCAATGTATTTTTAACGCTCCAGAGCAAAAAGAAAAATTCCCCACCCCGGGGATCGAACCCGGATACTACGCCTGACAACCTAGCGCTTTACCAATCAGCCATGGCCCAGCGGGCGCCAAAATTCACTAAATTCTCAATTTTTAAGGAGAATCGGTAGCTCCTGCAGCAAGCCGTCTTTACTAGGAGCGTAAAAAGGCTTTCTTAGGCCAGTTCGGCCCCTTTTTAGAGCTCCTCGGTTGACGAAGACGAAGATGAGAACGAGGAAGACGATGAAGATGAAGATGAGATGATCGGATCTCTTATTCTAGCCAATCCACAGGTGGGCCACACATCTGGAGATGCGAGAGAGACACCTAGACTGGCTCGCTCTCTCTCTCTCTCTCTCGCTCTCTCTAAAAAGTTATGGGCCCGTTTCCCATCGGCTCAGATCCAAAACGACAAACTTCCCGTCCCCCCCGTTGGCCCCCACATCTTCTTGCAAAAAGCTACACACATCTCGGGACAAAAAGAGAGTAGGAGAGAGTGAAAGAGAGAGAGAGAGAGAGAGAGAGAGAGAGAGAGAGAGAGAGAGAGTGAGAGAGACTAGGGTCCACCCCCCATGGCTTTCAATCTTCGTAAAGTCACCCAGGGGAACGGAACGCCCCGGTCGAGTCGTTGAGTAGTTTCCGGAAATGTGTAAACTGGGTGGGAGAGTGATTAAGAACCGGTTTAAAAATGCATTAAAAATGTTTAAAACGGTAAATTAGATGTATTTTGCCTTTTTAGCAATTTCGTAGGTTTTAATTAATTTTAACGCATGCTTTTTAAGATACCTTAAAAGCCGCAAATTGAAAACAAAAAGCAAAAAATTTTACCCCGAACGGAATTGAACCCGGGTAATTTTCTGATTAACCTAGAACACTAACATTATGCCACAGTTCAACTTTATCTTTAATGAATCGATGCCCCAGAAACATACCTGTCTACCCATTTTTTTCGAGAATAAATTCACTTTCAAGGATCCCCTTTCAAAAAAAAGTCCTCTCGAGAAAAGGGGAGAACATTGAAAGAGGGGGTTCAATTCCTCCTCCTTTCCCCGGGCCAACAGGATTTTTTGCGACTGGATCTATTAAATTACCCGGGGGGTAGAGGCCGCTCGGGATGGGACATTCCTTTTTTGAGTATAGATGGGGAATTCGGAGTTTTAAGGGAAGTCTTGAAGCTTGAGCATAAGCTAGCTCCGAGCCACTTACGTCAAAATACTAAAAAAATTTTGAGTTCGAAATAGAAATTTTTACAAAAATCAAATTAAACTCGCTGAAAAATGACTTTAGATAGTCGAAGCAGCCCGAAAAGAGCTGGCCTCTCCCCAAGAAAAGGAGAGAAAAGAAAGAACCCTCAATCGAGTACGCCTACAACTTGACGAGAAGGAGAATGAGGAGCACGAGCCGGACACGGCTGGAATTGAGGCGATCATGGCGATTGTTTGCTCGCAAATCAGACAGTTGATGGGGTCGATGGAGGAGGTTGATGCTGAGGGGATTGAGAGGTGAGACTGGCTTAAAAACACAGCTTTTGAAAGTTTAAGAACCTTCTACTCGCCTTAACAATAATTTTCTGATTTTGGTCCAGAAGTTAAGAAAAGCGCAAAAATTTCGGGTCCTGCCAGGCTGGGCCCCCTTCCCCTCTTTGGACCCGCCACCCTCCAATCCCCACAAAAGCTTTAGCGCAGTCGGCAGGGCGTTAGACTGCCAATCCATGGCTCAAAAGTTCGAATCCTGTCGCCAGCGTCCCTTTTGCTTTTTGCCCCAAAACCTCCTCCGAGTACACCTTTCCTCTTTACACCCCCTCTACACCCTTTGGCCGGTAACCCGAGTCGTCTTTTAGGCAGTAAAAGAATAAGATTGGGGGCTCGGAGTGAATGCACAGTCGGGCCTTACAACGAGGGGGTCCTCGTGCTCATTTCTGGCTGTGTCTACCCGTAAAGTGTAATCTGTTGTGGAATGGAGAGAGAGAGAGGGGGATGAGAGAGAGAGAGAGAGAGAGAGAGAGAGAGAGAGAGAGACTATATGGCTGGCTGCGGCGTCCATATGCATCAATAATGATGCATCAAATGTCATTTTTGTGGGGGGAGATGTGGGACGCTCTACCCTCAATATATATACTTCCCATACGGCCCAACACATTGACGTCCCCCTCCCCTCGGAGCCGGACGGTCTCTGAATGCCGACAAAAAGTGATGAGCTCAGATGTGGGCCACGGGGTGTTTAAAGGGCACGGGAAGTCAGGAAAATTGGCCAAAAAAATTGAAGAATCGCTCTAATCTGTCTTGAACATTTAAATCTAAGGAATCTGCAGAACTATTTAAAAGTATGCAAAATAAAACGAATTTCGAATTGCCAGAAAATCGAAATTCACAAAATTTGGACATTTGTGAATTTTTTGCGGTAAAATTGAGGTTTTAGTCGTTTAAAAAGCTACCGTATGCTAATTTTTGCTGTTTAAAGGTAACGTAAAAAGCAAAATTGAAAATCTTACGCTTTTACGAAAATCTAGATTTTTATTTTGTTTGTTTTGGGACCCAAATTGCGCGAAAATTTGTATTTTTAAATGATTTTTGGTTTCTGTGTGTGTACTGTACGTAGATTTATCCATTTTAAATCTTGAGGCATCTTACTACCTTCTAGATTTAAAAAAAGAATTTTCTATTTTTCAGGATTTCCACGACAATCCTATCGACAATCCTCCAATGGTCCTCATCAACGTTATCAAAAAAGATCTCAGAAGACATCAGAATGCAACTTGGTACTCCCTAAAAATTGTCCCAATTACAGTAATCCTTTAGAGCCGCTAATTACCGATAGTCTGGCCGAATTCACCGGACAACCAGCAAACACATGCGCCGAAAATCTGCTCTACGTTTTGTCGGAAATGGTCTACAATGAATTGGCTTTTTACAAATTGCTGCACTCGTTGCATAATTTGACCGATTCGCCTAATGAATAAAGAATGGAGATAAAGAATTTAATAACATTTGATCCATAGTTTAAAATTTAAATACAATAAAAATGTTTTAATACACTAAATATGAATAAAAAACATAAAATCGGAAGATGATACCTAAAAGAACCGAGAAACAGAGCAATAAATGAAAATAAAAACCAGAATTAAAATTTACAAACCATAAAATTTGCGTTTTAGAATTTAAAATGACCTCAATATATTTAAATTATAATTAAAATATTAAAAACAATGGATATTAGTAAAGCCAATCGACATTGTGGTTATATTTCACCGGAAAACCGCCAGAAAAAAAGTAGAGCAGCGTAATAAAAACTTAGAAAATTCAGAAAAATCGCTGTTATAATTTTTCCATTTTTGAATGTTTAGCTTCTATTTCAAACGCCTAAATACGTTAATTCTATCGAAAAAGGTGTCGTAATTGGATAGGCAGTCGGGCAGAACGGCGCAAAAAAGTGTGGAGAATGGGGTTGAAGGGGGTTGCTGCGGGGACCCACCTGAGCGACGAGGCCGTAGGTAAATGGACCTCCCAGGTATTTACCGGCTAAGAAATATATTAAACTACATTTGGAATAATTTTTGGAATAATCCTTAATCTGCTAAATAATACTTAAAAAGTACCGTTACTTTAACAGTAGCATCTTTTATTTATAATTATTTTTTATATTTTTCTCCTTCAAGGTATGTTTTAAATAACTTGAATTTAAATTTATTTGAATCCAGAATGTTGAATGAGTAGCCGACTAGCCCCCCGTCTGGCCCACCCCGCTGACAAAAGTGCACGTAGATTTTCCTCTTGTCGCTTGACAATTGAAACACTTGTACGACTTCGGTCGGTCAGGCGGTTTCATGCCAGGGCTATCCGCATGGATTTGCCTCACAAATTTTTGCGGATAGCCCTGGCATGGGGCCGTCCGACCGGCTGAAGTCACGGTAACGTGTCAAGCCACCAAGCCCCCAAATTTGTAAAAGTAATAGAAAGAAACAGAAGATTCACTATAATATATACGAATTAGACTAAAATTACTATTATTTCTATTAATAGCAATTTTACTTTTACCGTTGAAGCACCTCCGATTAAGCGTAGATTTTGGTACAAAGGCACAACATTTATAAAAACATACAATTTTACATTAGATTTTTCTATAACTTAGTAAATTCACAGAAATCCTGAAAGTTTTTGACTTGAACACCCCGTTAAAATACAGCTTCAAGCATGGAACAATGGCTCTATAATTAATGCCCCCGATTTATTCTGTGGAAACCAATACAAAGCTCAAATTTTTTAACTTCAACGGCCCTTTAGAATTAAATTTAAAGCATGTGACACGGTTTTCATATCCAAATTTTGGCCAGAACCTGAATTTAACGTTTAAATAGCTTATTAAATGGTAATTTTTGTCATTTTTGTGTACATCTTATTACCATGATTTTAAATATATTTATTTCCTCAGCCAAGGTAAATATAAACAAGCAGCAATGTACAATTTTTATTTTTCGGCAATCTTGAGGAATCACACGGTTTGCACGACCTGCACGAAATCCGAGAAATCGACCGGGTCTAAAAAATTATCAAAAAATGAAAATTTGGCCGCTTTTCAACCTCTTTCCATCGAATTCACTTCGCTCTTTTCCCGCCAAACATCCGAAGTGGGGATTCGCGTTGAGGATCCTGAAAATAACTTTGATTATATATGATATATCTCCTACTCTCTATCTCGCTCTCTCTCGCTGTCTCTCGCTCTCCCTCTCTCTCTCTCTCTCTCTCTCTCTATCTCTCTCTCCTCTCACACACACTCACTTTCTCTCTCTCTCTCTCTCTCTCTCTCTCTCTCTCTCTCTCACTCTCTCTCTCTCTCCTCTCACACTCGCCTCTCTCTCTCGCTCTCTCTATCTCTCTCCGCTCTCTCTCTCTCTGTCTCTGCATCTTCCCCCCTCTCTCTCTCTCTCTCTCTCTCTCTCTCTCTCTCTATCTCTCTCCCCTCACACACACTCACTTCCTCTCTCTCCTCTCCCCTCTCTCTCTCTCTCTCCTCTCACACCCCCTCTCTCTCTCCTCTCTCTATCTCTCTCCGCTCTCTCTCTCTCTGTCTCTGCATCTTCCCCCCTCTCTCTCTCTCTACTCTCTCTCTCTCTCTCATACGATGTTACCTCTTCGTGTCCACTGACCACCGTCACATGTTCCGGCTCGATGATTGGTTCTTTTATTTCGATGGCCTGAAAGTTCTTTCCATTAATATACTATAAAATTGATTTCTACGCTCCGAAAAAATCAGTTTCAGTATCGGCGCGTATTTTCAACGCTCGTACGCTAAAACGCTAGTATCTGATCAGCTATTACTTTGTGGTAGGAAAAGGTTTCAGCTTCCGATCGAGCGCAAAAAAAAGGATCCTCGGAAATGGGGACCTGGGCTATTTTGTAATGCATTAGTTTATAATCTCTCTCTAAGGTGTCTCTCGCTCTCTCACGTCTTCTCTCTCTCTCTCTCTCTCTCTCTCTCTCTCTGTCTCTACAATCTATAATGTGTGGGGGCAGTGAGGAAAGAAGAATTCGTGCTCTCTGAGTGCTCGCTCCCAAATCCCGACTAGCCCCCCGTCTGGCCCACCCCGCTGACAAAAGTGCACGTAGATTTTCCTCTTGTCGCTTGACAATTGAAACACTTGTACGACTTCGGTCGGTCAGGCGGTTTCATGCCAGGGCTATCCGCATGGATTTGCCTCACAAATTTTTGCGGATAGCCCTGGCATGGGGCCGTCCGACCGGCTGAAGTCACGGTAACGTGTCAAGCCACCAAGCCCCCAAATTTGTAAAAGTAATAGAAAGAAACAGAAGATTCACTATAATATATACGAATTAGACTAAAATTACTATTATTTCTATTAATAGCAATTTTACTTTTACCGTTGAAGCACCTCCGATTAAGCGTAGATTTTGGTACAAAGGCACAACATTTATAAAAACATACAATTTTACATTAGATTTTTCTATAACTTAGTAAATTCACAGAAATCCTGAAAGTTTTTGACTTGAACACCCCGTTAAAATACAGCTTCAAGCATGGAACAATGGCTCTATAATTAATGCCCCGATTTATTCTGTGGAAACCAATACAAAGCTCAAATTTTTTAACTTCAACGGCCCTTTAGAATTAAATTTAAAGCATGTGACACGGTTTTCATATCCAAATTTTGGCCAGAACCTGAATTTAACGTTTAAATAGCTTATTAAATGGTAATTTTTGTCATTTTTGTGTACATCTTATTACCATGATTTTAAATATATTTATTTCCTCAGCCAAGGTAAATATAAACAAGCAGCAATGTACAATTTTTATTTTTCGGCAATCTTGAGGAATCACACGGTTTGCACGACCTGCACGAAATCCGAGAAATCGACCGGGTCTAAAAAATTATCAAAAAATGAAAATTTGGCCGCTTTTCAACCTCTTTCCATCGAATTCACTTCGCTCTTTTCCCGCCAAACATCCGAAGTGGGGGATTCGCGTTGAGGATCCTGAAAATAACTTTGATTATATATGATATATCTCCTACTCTCTATCTCGCTCTCTCTCGCTGTCTCTCGCTCTCCTCTCTCTCTCTCTCTCTCTCTCTATCTCTCTCCTCTCACACACACTCACTTTCTCTCTCTCTCTCTCTCTCTCTCTCTCTCTCTCTCTCTCCTCTCACACCCCCCATCTCCCGCCTCCCCTCTGTCTCTGCACTCCCCCCTCTCTCTCTCTCTCTCTCCTCTCTCACTCTCTCCCACACACACTCACCTCTCTCTCTCCCTCTCTCTCTCTCTCTCCACACTCCCTCTCTCTCG